CACTATCGAAGCTGCACATTTGGGGCAAGACACAATAAATAAATCTCCGCCAGTTTGGGTCCTTATCACAACTGATCAAGATGGCCAAAAGATTCTCTGCTCAGAGGGCCTTGCAAATTATTCTGGAAGAGAGAGAACCATTTGATGATGATGATGTAGAGGAAGAGGAAGAGGTTTCAGAATGTGAGGGTCACATTTCTGAGAAGTCTGAGTCTGACAGTGACTTTGCAGAAGAAAGACGAGCCACAGGACCAGCCGGTCAGTGGGCAAAACAACGAGTAGCACTTTAATTCATTAATGTGATCTAACAAATGTAAAAGGGCAAATATTAACCATGTATGCTGTTTATATTGCTTGTAATTGAGATGAAGTAAACATCTGTTGAGTATTTTTAACATATAATAGTTTGATTGTGTTGAATTGAAGCCCAAAAAGGCAGCGGGTCCACCAGACCCACGAACACTGGCTGAGTAACAGAAATATGAACACCACACAAGGGTTAAAACACATTCAATATCTTCCATGGAAGCTGCAAACAATGATTCAACGTTCTGATCAAATCAATTGGGCAGATGCCTTTCCCTGGAACTGAGCCATGACGCTAAACACCCTGCACACACACCCTGTACACACCTTTATCTGTTACTATGTAGCAACTGATAGCAATGTGCTGATGACACCTCTACTTTTCTTTATACCTTAGTTGGGATTTATCTTGCACAAGAAGTTCCAACAAACACAATCACTTCCCCAATTATGCAATACAGAGGACCAAACCTAAAGTGTACCATGTTCACCATCTGAACGATTTTCATTACATTTGCACACACTAGGAAGTGAACAAAAAAGACCAGCTGTAACTGCTTATCGACAAACAGAAACACAAATATTTAAGAATATAAAACTAATTGGGTTAACGTGCTTCACTCTGAGCATGTACACCACTGCTGGATTTCAAAGAACATGGTGACCCCAACTGTCCAAAGAACAGACACACAGTCAGAACGTGAAGGAGATAAGGTCTCCTGTAATATTTGTGACTAGAGATTGTATTTGATGTCTGATGCCTTCCTTGCATATAAACGCCTAAAATCATACGCTCCTGCATCCGGTCTTTTTCTTGAGAGGTCCAGAAATGATTAAATACACATTAGTGGAATAGAAACTGCATTTCTTAGGTGGGTAACATTTCCTTTTAGATACATTTCTGCCACAAATGAATCATTCAAAGCATGTGAGTAAATGTGACTTGGTTTCCCACTAACAGATCTGATATGGAAAAATATAGAGTAAATGTAAAATGTTTTCAATTCTATTTAAAGTAATAGCTTGGTATATCGGGAAAATACACACATTGGCTTTCTTTAAAAGTAAGATGAGAAAATCAATATCACTCTTAAACTGCAACTTGTCTTTTAAAATGTTGTTGATCGTACCGAATAAACAAATATATACTTAATATTAATAAAGGGAGACGTTTTAAGGACTTCTAGGTGACCTAATACAACGCTCTACTGGAGAAGCCCCTCCGCCAACCAAAACTCAACTGAAATTTAAGAATGACTTGAATTGATTGTGATTTAAAAGCCAAAACCATCTTCATCATCTGCCCTAAAGTACACTACTGCCTGAAGGCTTTATCTCCTTGTTTCCTTTCCTCTCTTTGTGAATGCCTCCCTCTAGCTACAGAGCTGAGATTGCATTTGTTTATATTTGGTGAAAATTAACTCAACCAATCCATTAAACATTGTGACATCACAAAGTGGCCATCTGATCAGCTCATTTTCAGACAGGTTTTTATATAAATGGATCGGGACAAAGAGAGAGAATCTCTTAACACAGAGGGGACACATGTTTATTTTTGAAAGTCCTGAAAAAGTGGATTTTGCGTAATAGGTGACCTTTAAATGTTGTTCCTCTGGTTATACCTGAAAGTGAAAATCTCAACCCTTTATTTATCTAAGAATCATAACTGTAAGACAATGTTAGTTATGTCTATATAGATATTGGACCAAGTAGAATGTCTGCAACTTTACCTCTCAATGTTTACATTAGTATTTTTTGACTACTCTTATTTTTTTATTACTCTTATTGTATTTAATTATAATCTATAACCTCCCACAAAAATAAATAGTTAATACGTACAACTATTTAAACGGGGTGCTGTGTTTGGAGTTAGATTCAAAGTTCTATAACAGAAAAACAAGATGTTGAGCACATGGGTCGAATCAAAATTGTTATTTTTTTATTTTTGTAAAAGAACATTTGATACAAAAGAGCATATTGGGGCCCATTAATAATTCACAAGTACAAATCTGATTTTTTTCTTTTACCCAGTATGTAGCCACAAAAATAAATTTTGTAAAAAAACTATTGATTGTTAAGTTGCTGGATAAGCTGAAGAGTCCCTTAAAAGCACTTTGGACAGCGACTGAATCAGGGTTGGAGTCAATTCACTTTCGTTATTATTATTTTTTCCATTCCATAAAATATGTCAGAATTTTTAAACCTTTTAGCATACAACAGTGAATTCACACATGAAAACTCACCTTTGCATACAACTTTAATCAAATTACATATGTAAAGTTGAATTTAAAACAACCATGACTTAAACATGGTTTAATTCCTTCAAATGCCAATAATATATATTTTTTCAGTTCTAACCAAAGTAGATTTGATTTCAACCCTTACGCAAATTTTAACCTAAACCTTTTTTTCCCAAACAAAAACCACACAAAAACATTGCATTCTTTCACCACGGCCGCACACACAAAACAAAACCTGATTTGAATATTCATTCATAATTAAAGAAAGATTTTACCTCGACAAGGCACTGCATTTTGACCTGCAGGGAACCAAAACATGACAGGTTGAAAACAAGAACTGCAGAAATTCAAAAACACCGATCAGTTCAGATGCAGAAGGAAGTTAAATAAAAAAGACAATTGTAGGATACAATCTAAGAGTTACAAAAGAAGACTTTCATTTGAGTGGCGTGTAACACCGCTGTCAGTTGAAATTATATTCTGGATTTTTTTACAAAGGAAAAAAGAGATGACTGTAGGCTTCCCTACAACACATGTACAACCTTAAATTAGCTATGTTGCCTGCAACACGGCTCATTCTGTAAACTCATGTGACTAAATAACTATTAAGTCACACATTAATCAGTCAAAATTATTTTGCATCATGAGCCAATGCAAAGGTTGCACATGCACTACAACAGGAAGAAAAGAAAAAAGGCAAAATATAAAATGTGCTACAGAAGCTAATTTACAAACAAACTTTTCTTTTACTAACTAAAGGACACATTTATCATCGCATGATCTGCTTGGCTGAACCAAGCTTCCTGCCAGACAATAAATGAAAACATTTGTACCACTTTAAATAAATAGGAAATTCAACCAAGCAATTTGCAACACACACACACACACACACACACACACACACACACACACACACACACACACACACACACACACACACACACACACACACACACACACACACACACACACACACACACACACACACACACACACACACACACACACACACACACACACACACACACACACACACACACACACACACACACACACACACACACACACACACACACACACACACACACACACACACACACACACACACACACACACACACCTTCAGGGAATGCAAAAAAAACATGATAGCTTACATAACTTAAAACAGGAAAAATAGTTTGACGAAGACATTTCTAACTAAAACAAAACCAGATTTTCATCTGAGTGCATGATGAGAATCTTTGCTGCTTTTCTTCAACTGAATACCAATGTGGTTAAGAACCAATTCATGAAGAAGCATGTGGGGACCAAATGTGAACAACAAGAAGGAATTGGTCCTTTTGAGGCCAACATATTTGATTTAAGGCATGAACGCTAACTTTCCAAACTCTTACGGCCCGTCCACACAGCGGCGTGCGTTGAAGCTTCAGCGCTTCTGCCCATTCACTTTGAATGGGGTGACATCACGCTTTGCCGAACTGCATTGGGGTTCCGACGCTTCGCTTTGCTGGCATTGCTCGCTTCAAAAGTTGAGCAATGTTCAACTTTTGAAGCTTCGGCAGAAGCGTCAGCCAATCAAATCATATGCCAGTACAAGCTCTAGCCAATCAAACCGCGTGCTTGTGTGTCCGGGGCGGGAGATTCATGTGATTGGTTGTTGGTCGAGTTTCAGACACGCCAACCGGCAAGCTTCAACGCACGCCGCCGTGTGGACGCTGCGTTACTGAACAACCCCAACACATCCCTGGTTTCACTTCCTCCTTTCACTTCCACAGAACTTTCCCTGAAGGCCTCGCTGCTCTACACTGGTTAGAATGGGCACAGCAAAAAACAGCTGTTCTTTGATTCACCCATAATGAAGAAGATGCTTTTATATGAAATATAATATATGAATTATAATATGAAACGATGGTTTGTGAGGAGCTCCCCCGGCATGACAATAACAGTCATGTGCTTTGTGGAGCATCGGTCTACAGGCATCTGGTGATCTCACTTGAACCCTTGGCTGAAAAAAATGAAAATAAAAGAAACAAGAATTTTCCTTGTTACTTATTATCAACCTACATTACACCCCATACATGTTTGCATCAAAATCATTTTAAGACTTTGCTCCGCTCCCCGAACACCTGAGACTATAAAGGCTAAACTCCAAGCTAACTAATAGAGAAACACATATTCAGTATTAGTTTTAAAATCACTAACTGCAGCACACCATCATAACCTGGTTTCCCGCACACCAACAAAACCCATCCCGGATAATTGCTTGTTTTTCCACATCACTGAAGTCTCTCCTTTTGTCATTTAGACACTAAGATAAAGATAAAATGGCCTTCAAGTTGTTTTTTTGAATTTCCAAATTATTAATATTTAAAATGTTATGGTATCCTTTTATGTTACCATATATTTGAAGACAGAGGAGTATAGCCCCTATAAAGCATATAACAATACAAACAATATTGAAAGGGTGATTTATTCCTTTAAGTTGGGGCAATGACATCTTGATCGTTAGAGAAAGCAGTCAGGATTCCAGTGTTTGAGGTTGAACTGATTATTAGTTTAGCCTTTACATTTGTGCTCATAATGACATCATAGAGTGGGGTAGTGATGCTCTTTTTTTGTAGACTGACCAAGATGTTAGCATTGCAAGGGCTTCTTTGACAAAAATAAATGGGATTTCTGTGTGAAATGAGATCTGTGGTAAACACTTGCTCGTTTTGTTCAGCATGATAACATCACTTTTAGAATAGCTGAAGCGCAGGTAAAAAGCTAACGTTAGGCTATAAAGGAACTACATCCACCGTGTTCGTAGTGATGACCGTAAGTTCATTTTGCCCCTTGTTAGCACCAGACATTCACCAGTGAAGTATTAACTGACATATTTTATGTGGTAGAACAAAATGTAAGAATCTTGTAAGCTTATGTTAACAACAGACCTTATTTTAGGCAACCAGAAAAAAAAACTTCGACTTCGAGAGGATGGAACCCGGCTAAAATGCTAACTCGTTTCTGGATTCAGGACTTATTCCTGCACCACTCTTTTGTGGAAAAGAATATTGAAAGTGTGAAACTGCCTTAAGGATAGTCCCACACTGAATCTATACCGCTCATAATGATAGTTTATAGATGACCTTCAGCTGTGAGATGCTACATTTTCCCCCTTGGAGAAACAATGTCTAAAAACCAGCCTTGTGATTTGTATCTGCATCTCGTTGGTGTAAAGGAAACCAGCCCTATGAGTCCATACTCCACACACCAACACCTGCTCATCCACTTGGATTAAACATTATCAATAACAAAAGAAATATCAAAATAACATTCATATAAATAATTTAAATAGCTATACTAAAGCTAAATTCTTGGTCTAAAATTGTAATGGCCAGAGAAGTGCTAATAATGTTATTTTAGGGACTGAGATTTTTACACAAAACATTTTCCCGGCACACTTAAAACATTAAGATTGTGTTTTTGACAAAGATTTGCAGCCCTCAATTTGAAGCCTATAGGGAAGGAGGGAAGAAATCTAGAAGTCTCCTTGCTCCTCCTCCTCGTCTCCTTCATCTAACTGTCTCCCAACACTTGCGATAGGTCGCCAAAGTCACAATCGAACAGTTCACTGATGCCCTCATTGTCCTCCAATCCAAAGTGGTAGTCGTGACTGTGAGGCGGGGACAGGTTGATAAAACCGTCCAATGGGAGAGGGAGGCCGTCTCCATTCAGGAAATCCGAGGAGGAGAGGGGGGACAGGTTGAAGTCGGGCATGTCTCCGAGGCTGGAGAACGGGTCGCCTCCCAGGAGAGATTCTGGTGTAGAAAGTGAAATGTCAAAGAACATACACAACCACGGTAAGATTGTTCTAGATCATTTTAGATCTATCATTATTTGGCAAACATGTGTATTAACCATTTTCTGAAGGTGTATGTATATACACATTTGGAGAGGTCAAAGCAGGATAAGCACAGGTGGAATTTGTCTACAATAGCTGCATGCCTTGTGCTGAGTCAGTTCCCAGGAATTGTGTTGTGCTTGCTGACTAGTTGGCAACGAACAACATTGGTAACACTTTTGCCTTTCCTGGTAACTGTGGTTTCATCAGCTGTTACACAATACGAAGTGGTTAGGTCACAGAACAGCCGGTTGCTGAAATGCATTTTGACAGTTGGCACATTTTCGATTAAACACATTGAAGAAAGACTGCAAATGCATCAACCATACTATATTAGCTAGTCCTTACTTTTTACAATGTGAACACAATACTGGAGGGGTTGCACATGACAGTTGGAAAAAATGGGAATCATAGGTAGCCTTCGTAGCTACTTCTTTTTATGTGGAGTACAAGCTTACCAGCATGATGGGTGATACATTACATTACATGTTACTTGTTAGACGCTTTTATCCAAAGCGACTTACATACTCAATACTGTGGGCAATCCCCACAGGAGCAATTTGGGGTGAAGTGTCTTGCCCAGGGACACAACAACATGCTGACTGCAGTGGGGTTTGAACCTGTGACCCCCTGATCCCAACACCAACGCACAACCCACTGCACCACACGCCTCCCTACAGTAATACTAAATGTGACCTAAAATGTATTTCACTGTATTTCATTTTAAGTAAATGTTTTGCAGTGAAGGTACAGGTCACACTGTTACAAAATAAGGAATACTCCAACTCCCACTCTATAGACAATGTAGGGGAACATATCTTTATCAATCTGATCTCTTAAAATAACAGATTTGTTCATTTTGAAGGGAATCCTGCCTTATCATTTAAGTATGGTTTTTAATGTAATGTGATTTAATCATACAGTTTAGATTTGACAGTCATGCTGTTGTTTTTAGTTTAAAGTGAACTGAGCAATTAAGAAATACATGTAGGGTTATTTGTATTGATGATGACTGCATTTCAAAGTCCATCACGTGCCACAGCAAGGCACCAGGGATGTTGGCCAAACGGGTTTACTGCTCGAATGTAGCATGTGTACTGTACAAAACCAGGCTTTTTAAAAGACAGGGAGACGTTCTCCTTTTCCTTTTCTATACGTTTTTGTCCTGCGCCTGCACCCAACTAGGGTGGGATCTGACCAACAGAGGTGGGAGAAGTACTCAGATCTTGTACTTGAGTAAAAGTAGAAGTACCAGAGTTTAGGAACACTCTCTTACAAGTAAAAGTCCTGTATTGAAAATCTTACCAAAAGTAAATGTACTCAATATGAACTGTGGCCTATTTCAGAATAATATATATGATTATTAATTATTGATGCACTAAAGTGTTATGAAAGCTGGTAAAGGTGCAGCTAGTTTGAATGACTTTGTATGCTGCAGGGTAGCTTGTGAATTTACTCCAGGTGGAACTAAAGTCTGATTTAAGTGTTAAATAAAATGCATTTTTATTATTAAATCTGCAAAAGTAACTAAAGGTATACAAACATGTAGAGAAGTAAAAGCACAATATTTACCTCTGAATTGTAGTGGGGTAGAAGTGAAATACTGAAGTAAAGCATGTCCCTCAAAAACTGTGCTCAAGTACAGTATTGAGTAAATGTACATAGTTACTTAAAGTGGACCTATCATGCTATATTTAAATGATATATTGTAGGGCCATACCTATATAAGGTATATTTATACGTTTCTGTTTTCAAAATACCAAACAGATCATGCATTTTAGCCATGCCTCATTTCGCTCTATGTGCTGTTTGCTGTCTACGGGTCTGATTCTGCTGACCACGCCCCCCTGCAGGAGAGGTGAGCCATGCTCTGATCAGCTGCTGGGCTGTCAGAAGAGGGGGAGAAAAAGAGATCTCCGTCCTCCGTGTTTTATTATATAGAGTCGTTATTCATTTGTTTTAAAGCTCAATAAATAACAAAGAAGACCTTTGACCGGCACTTTTCTAATTTTGTCCGGAAGATTTAAACTTTAACGGACATCTTGACCGGCGAAAGAAACTGAAACTCTGCCGCACGGTCCCCTCGTTCCTTGCAAGAGGCGGAGAGGTGGGTGTTTGTCATCTGCTGGTGGACTAACCGGAGAGAATTACAGTGCTTGCCTCGACGGGGAGGGATTGCATTGAATTAAAGCAGCGGGAGCAAACGCTTGCCTCGGGGAGGGAGAAAAAAAGCCACAGCGGAGAATAAACAGAAGGGTAACCATGGTAACTATGGGCGGGAAGTCTTCTTCGCTGCTTTTGTGGCAGACTACAGCGCCACTTACAGGCCTGGCATATGTACTACAGCGTCCCCAGCGCTTTCGAGCGGCAATAGAGTGGCGAAGTCCCTCCCCTTCCGGTGGACCTCCATGGGACCTTATTTCGGAAAAATTATGTATTGAAGTCAATGGAGAGAGAGAAAGATTATCTTTCGATCCCGTTTGAATTGTGCCACGAATTACACATATGATGTTTGTCAATTTAAAAGATAATTTTGCAAGTCAAAAAAAAAAAAATGTGTCGTAAAACTGTGAAGTAACACATTTGTTTGTGTGAAACGCTCAATGAACTACATCTCTGGTCTCACAGAACAACACACGTCACCAAGATGGCCGTCACTACTGTCTTGTCAACAAAACGATTGACTACCCTCACTATCACCACAATGAAACACGTCCTGAAGAAAGTCATGCAAAGCTGCCTGCCTGCCTTCCTTTGATTCTCTCTGAACTGCCTGGTCTTTTTAATGTTTAATGTCAACCATTTGTGCAGATAGCATGAAGTAGAGAAGATCGCTAGCGTTAGCGTTAGCATTTCTCCCCCGGGCTTAAATTGTGTATTATAGAATGATCACACCGGTGTGACAGTACTCTTCAAAGGGTTCACGAAATATGACTACTACTCTTACTGTTTAACATTGTGGGTTACTTAATGTTACTTCATGTTAAGGCTAATAAAAATGACAAGGCTGTAATGCTAACTAACGTGCTAGCTACTAGCTAGCTTGATCCAGAGTACTCCTGGTCCTTTCATCAGACGGGAAGCGAAAGAACGAGCAAGACCCATTGCTGGTATGAACAACCTGGTACTAAGCACACAGGCATCTTGTTAAAGTTATCTTATCTTAGCCAGCGCCATATAGATAGATTATATCTATATGGCGCTGATCTTAGCTATCTCTTAGTGGAGGAAAACAATTGTGACATCACTTACACCACTCTGGGATTTGTAGTCTTTCTAGTTGCGTATTTTTCATAGTCTTATATTTCAACAGTTTTACGACAAACTGTGACTTTTTTGACATGGAAATGATTTTTTAAGATTGACAAACATCATATGTGTAATTCATGGCACAATTCAAACGGGATCGAAAGATAAGTTTTCTCTCTCCATTGACTTCAATACATTATTTTTCCGAAATAAGGTCCCATGGGGCGGAAGTAGATGGGCGTGACTTCGCCACTCTATGGCCGGCCGTGGCCCAACCCCACATTCCCCTGATAGGTGGAGAGTTGGCCCAATAGCCGTAGCGCCACTTCTGTGACGACATAGAAGTGTTCAAATCTGGATCAGTCTGTATCAGATCCGTTGCAGCCCCTTTTTTAGAGATTTGGGTATGGAGGAAAATGGAGAGGGTTGTGTTTTCTGACACTTGGTGAGTTCCCTGGAACACCGGGGACACATATTCATGTATAAAAGACGTACAAAAGTGCATTTTGCATGATAGGTCCCCTTTAACCTCACTGGTTACCAATATCTACCTCCTTTTAAAAAATTGGCTTCACTGCTCCTAATCCTGCAGAAGACTGTCAGCTATGCTTGCAGTGTGTTTAGCTGAATTCTAAAAAAGTCATGAATGTTTTGTAGAGCACTTGAAAAACAACAACTTTTGAACAGCTAACACTCAAGATTTTGGGAACATCAAAACATTTTTAATTGAACATTTCCACTAAGTATACATTTATTTACTGACAAATGTAAACGCTCACCTGTTTCCTCCCCTAACGCCATGGAGGAGGGGTCCTGCTGGGAGGTGGCTGTCACCGTGGACGACGTGGACGCTGGAGATGATAAACCCACCTCAAGAGCGGCTGCGGATGTTCTGGCTTGCGATTGGTCCATGGGTTGTGAGGGAGGCGGGACCAGGGAGGGGTCGGAATCGGGTTTGGAGGGACTACTTCCTGTCACAGGGCTGCAGACGCCGGAACTTTCTTCTGGACAGAGGAAGACGTCGATTTGCCCCCGTGTGCTCTTCAGGGACACCTGGTAACCCTGAGAGACAGATGTGTACACGGCACAGTTGAAATACGGTTGAATGTTTCTTTAGAACTATTAAAACATTGAAAATATGTATAATGAGACTAGCAAGCTTTAGGGAAGTTTACAGAAAGAATACATATTTACAAAAGTTTTCAAGGACTTTTTCCTGAAATTCATAAACTTTCATGAATTTGGAGGACCTGTGGGAAACATGACCTATGATACTTGTGTAGTTATATTTATTTAGTTAAAAAGTCAAAGCAATCTGGTTCGATATTATAATTTATTCATGGTATTTTTTTTTCTTTTGTTGCTGTTTTATTTGCAGTATCTTCTATCTTTTCAAGAATTACATACCAATACTTTTCCAAAAAAACAAATAAAGACTGTAGACATCTATCTGAACTTAATTGAGTGAACTGCTCTTACACTCAGTCCTAACAAAACGTGAGCAGGTGTTGATTGCATACTTCGATTGAGGAATTATCTATTCAAATGTTCATTTCACTATAAACCTAAATACAGTGGCAGCTTGCTGGAGGGAGAATGCCTGAGAGTGTCCTTCTTGCTGTTGGGTATATTGTACGTAATTTCCAGTAAATATAACAATATAAAATGTGTGTTTTGTGATGGAAAAGTGCAAATGGTAATGTTGAATTGGTCACCTCTCCAGTCTGGTATAAAGCACACATGTGATATGTACATTGATTGTTTACAGAGTGCAACAGAATGTATGTTAAATGTATACAGTGTTGGGACATGAAGTCACTCTCGCCGACATCATTACGGTTGTTCTTGACCTATTCCTTTTTCAGCTTGTTTTTTTCTTCCTTTCAGATATATATATTTCGAAATGTAGAACAATTGTTGCCTCGCCTACCTCAGAATCAACATGTTTTAAACAGTGAATAACATTAAGGCCCGTACCTGGCTGGGTTCTGAAACCTGCATCTGGGTCTCTGGTGGAGCTCGGATCACCATGACCAGCTGGTCCGGGGAGTCAAACGACTTCTTCAGGTCCTGGCAGCGCACATAGCCCAACGTGAAGAACCGTTAAGGAACACAACAACAATCTAAAAACTGCCCTTTTTTCCCGAGCGATAGTGTCATTTAAAAAAATATTTCTAAAGAGAGATCGCAAATCTATGCGGCCTCCTCAAGAAAACGTTTTTTCCTTTCTGTTAGTGCACTATAGTATTTGTTCGACCACTTTGAGGCTTGAAGTTGAAAATATTTGTAACTTTTCAGGAAAAAGCGCTGGTGACATCGATGTAGAAATCAGGCGAAGCTGGTTTCTTTCGGTGTATTTTAGATGGAAACTACCATAACAAATACCAATACGCTTATTTTGTTGGAGCAGATCGGTGAGGACTTATGGTCATACTTTGATCGTTCTACTGGCTTTGTGGGAGTCTGAGTGGGGACAGGCTCAGTTCCCAAAAGTTTGAGAAGAATCGTTCTCTTGTTGTTTATTTAAAAAAGATATAGTGGCACAAACAGTTCATCCAAGGGGATAGAGCTGGTTTGTCTTATCAAGCGGTGATACATCAAGATACTTGTAATTAAAACAAGTGCTAGGAGGAGGCTCTTCCCAGGGCCCTAGCAGGGCATTTCTGCCAGAAACAGGGCTTGGAAGGGCACTTAGCTAGCTGTAAAAATTAAACAAGTTACTAAAACTGGTGTAAGGATATTTCTTGTTCTGCTGGTCCTCTGTGAGCAGTCGCAGCTGTAGGTTGCATTTTGAAATGAGGTCGTCCAGCTGCTCCTCAGCCTCTGTGAGGTCACACACCTCCCTCTGCAGCTCCTTATGGCGGGAAACCACTGCCGCATCAACTCGATTACCACTGCACGAGAGAAATTACAGAAAAAAGTAAACAATAGTTGAGCTTTATAGAATCCAAATACAACATACCAGCAACTTCTTAAGTTTTTTTTATTGCAATAGTTGGTGTTTATGTAGTCATGTTTGGTTCTCATGCTAACTCACAGCCACTGGATGTTGTTCTTGGACTTCTTGGAGATGAGCTGGATTCCCTCCAGCACGTTGGTGATGTCGTAGATGCGTCTCTTCTGGACATCGAGGACTTGCGAGGCCCAGTTCAGGTCCACCACGCCGTCAGTAGACTGGGACAGAAGGTTCAGGAAGCGCTTGGTGGTCAGGTTCAACGAAGTGTCATAGCGGGACTTCTCCGTCGTTGTTCGAGGGACTGAAGAGAGGAAACATATGGGTTCTGACATTCTGCTTTTAGACAAACTGGGTAGTTTGTTTTTACTGTAAAACACCCCCTTAATGCCCTTCAGCAGACTGAAGCAGTACAGCAGAGCAGCATCTCTCCTAACTAATGGATTATAGGCTTATCTTGTCTTCCCAACATCATAACATGGCAATTACAAGTGGGAACTTACAACTCAAGAGTAAAAACTATCATTCTTCTTTTGGATTGTTCTGGTTTCATGTGATGGATGCAACTGGGATTATTGGAGTATAATTATAAGTTGATTTAAAGGTAGGGTAGGTAAGTTTGAGAAACCGGCTCGAGATCGCTAGAATTTGAAAATACACAACCGGAGAAAATCTGCCACTTCCTTACAGAGCCCCTCCTCCAACACACACAAACTCGCACATGACCAATGAGGGCACGAGATAAGTTTGTGCACAGATGGAAGGCTGACAGGCAGGTAGGCCATCCAGTTATTTTAGCCGGGCCGGCTAAAATGATTGGTCGTGCTTTTTACAGTACTACGGCTTCCACAGATGACATTTTTTTATGGATTTTTTGTCAAAGCACTTAGCAGATATTCATTGCTATCGGGATGTTAAGAGCATTCCATGGAATATAACGTAAGTGTATCTCGAGCCGGTTTCTCAAACTTACCTACCCTACCTTTAAGTAAACCTTACTTTTCAACTGGCTTGTTAATGTGTTAACGTTTGCACTCCCTGTCAAAAAGTTACATTATGTATTAATCTTATTACTTATTCCATGAATTTGTAGTTTTTTTATTTGTGAAAGTACACTAAAAGTGTTAGTCACATAAACTACCAAACCCTGTCTGTCTTCCACACTCCATGTTTTTGTGCTGTGGCAAAGTCTATGCAACTAAAGCTTTCTTTCCTGTTTTTTGAATTTATTAACCACATTGATTATTTAAGGTCAATAGGAGGGAGACAGCAACATAAATCAATAAATATAATATTTCTTCCCATTTTTTTTCTCCAATTATTTGAATCATTTCTGATACGAGTCTGCCTGCCGTCATCACAGAATGGCTGTTGTCTCTGCTGATAAAAAGAACAGCTGTTTTTTGGACAATGACGTCTAAAACAAGGTCAAAGTTTGTATGGTTTGAATGGACGTGCTGCTCACGTGTAGCTGCTTCTGCTGTGAATTTTGGGTAACAAAGAGGGGGAAAAAGCAGTGGTAAGCTGTGAGGCTGTGAGTGTGCGTGTGCGTGTGCGTGTGCGTGTGCGTGTACCTCTCGGAGGGGCAGGTGTGGAGGGCGGTGCTTGGCCTATGGACGGGCGAGTGGTGCTAAAATACTGATGGTCACTATCCAGGTCCAACTTCCTCTTTACCTGCAGAAAACATATGGTCGAGAAAAAATAAATAATCATGAGATCGTAACAACCATGTCTTATGAGGAAATTACTGAAAATGAAACTCCCTGTTGAATTAAAAGCAAATAGTCTTAAAGCAACAGGTAGATGCCCTTATATTCTTCCAACATATCCCCGTATTCCTCACCGGAGGTCTCCCCAGGGCCGGTCGCCTCTTGTCCTGGACATCAACGGGGCCCTGTGGCGTGGCAAACAGCAGGATCTCCCCCGTGCTGGTGGGGGCTGCGATCGGGTGGAGTCCCTCATTGCTGGGGCTGGTGATGATCACTATCTGGTGGTCCTCAGCCAGGTCAATGCTCCCAGAGTTCAGCAGAGTCTCAAAGTCAGCCAACAGATCCTCTGATGTGTGGCCCGTGATCAGAGTCTCTGACATTGCAGTTTGTCACTTAAAACCCCTTTAATGGACGTCAAGGGTTGCACACTAAAATGCTGCAACTTGAGTTTCAGCACACTCTTGGGTTTGATAGTAAACAATAATAAAACCCCTTAAAAGTTTGCTTGGTTATGGGTTAACATTGCTTAAAAAAAGTTCCCCTTTCTGCGTTGTCCATCTTATAAACAAGCAATTACAAATGCATTATAACTAGCAATATTACCTAGATAATAAGCTAACTGCTCACCACCACTTTAAGGCTGGTGGTGACACAGAAACACAGGATGTTATGCCAAACAGGAAATTTGGCAAATAAAACTGAGCTAAATGCATAACAACTGATATAGCTCATATATTAAAAAATAAATAGTCGAAAATGAGCCGTGTCAGAAATAAACGCAGGGGGTTAGCGAGCTAGCATGGGAGCAAGCTAATCTTTTGTTGTCATCTGTCCTGTCAGTACAGTACAGCCGCGAGGCCTGGCCACACTGCACCTAACACAACCCCTGCTAACGAGCTAGCTTAACAACAAACAAGTTAACAAACTACACAGTCAAGCCGAGAAAATAGCTATTTAAGTATTTAAAACATTAGTATTTCTCCTTACACATAAGTAAGGGCTTAGTAAAATTGATAGTAAAACTTTATAGCAGCATTACAACAGTGGGCTATCGAAATAAAAATATCAACAATTCAAAACCGACACTGTAACCCAGAAGCATTTTGCAAACAGATGTAATGACGCGAAAGCCAGTTAAGCGGAGTGTAAAGCGGTATGGTTGAATATGAAAATATAGGGCAGATTAGCATGCTAGCTGGGTTATTAGCTGCAATTCTCCAACCCTCTCGTTTTGGTGGGGCACGCAGGAAGCAGTTTGACTAATCTGGAAATGTAAGGAAATAAACCGGTGAAATAAACCCTCATCGTTTAAAAGACCATCCGCGGTTCCGTGGGGTGTTCACACCGGGCGCGGTCCATTTATAAAAGCGCTGTTCCGACCCCGATATCGGCTGTTATTGTTGTTATTGTCCCAGCTGATCTACATCTAAACAGGGCTCGGACGGTTTTCGCGCGAAATCTTTTTTGCCGCGAAAGTGCCATGTGCCTCAATCCGACGCTTGCTATTGGTCGACAAGCAGCCCTTTCCGGAGGAAGGGGCCGGCTGCGTCTGATTGGTGTAAACAGTTGTCTGTTATTTCAGCGCGGATTCATCGATGTGATGTTGCATTCAGTATCCAGGATTCAAAATGATCGTTCATGGTGATCACGTTCGTTTTGTCATCTTACATTGAATAACTTAACATTTGTATCACTTCATTTCCAGAAAATGGTTACCCATTCAAAATATGGCGATAAACAAACTTAAGTGTGTTTATCACTATGTTTTCCTGTTGTGTCATTCGGAAAACTGTTATTTGGAGAAATGTTGAACCTCAACCATATTTTCTGATGATTACAGGAAAAAGAAGGCTGTATATCCGTTTAGTTCATATTTTTAACACCCACCAGTCTATTATGAAAACTTCCTAGGAATATGTTTTCTTTAAGTGTTTAGTGTTGTAATTCCCCATGATTCAGTTAGCGCCTCAAACAGGCAGCCCCTGCTAATCGAGCGCCTATCGCGCAGCAGAGGAGCTACAAGATGGCGCAGGCAATATTTGAAGTGCTTGAAGGTAGGTTACATTTGTTTATAACTACGTAATTGCAAATACAATTAAACGTGAATGTACTTTGTAAACACTGTCAATAAACCAGGACCCTTTCGGTGTGCAGAACACTCCCTATAAAACCATGTAAATGTGTCTATCTTCGTAATAACAATCATAACATCCCATATAATGAAGAGTGATAGACTGTAAACAAACAAATAGATTGTTAATTGTCCATTTCTTATGGACAGCTTGGATCTGGAAGTCTTTTTTATCACATTGCAGGCATGCAATACCATTATGTATCCCTCTCTTGCTATCTAGACTGCATTTACATTTTAGCAGCAGGCTCTTTTGATGACAGCACACTGTGTTGATGGTATAAGGGCAAATCGAGTATCTGTTAAAGTTAATTTACGTTGATCAGATGCTTTGTGTATATTAGTTTATTGAGGTGTCAATCATTAGATGCGTGTAACATTTCCAAAATGTGTTATAAGATCAATATAGGTTAAAAGAGATGCTGGAGAATACACAATATAATGCTGAACTCGATTTAGAGCATGCATCGTTTTTCTATATTACATCTGAAGGTTTACCTGACTATGATCACAAAGATGGGTCCTTGGTGAAATTAATTATAACAAGACACAATCCATCACCAGTGCCAGACACTGTTCCTTCCTCTTAGCTTATTACCCAGACCCCTTTACGGTGGAATAACTACATAGCTGGGCATAATAGAAAATAATTGGGAGGGGTGAAACCCTCTTTAATGGTCACACATGCAGAGCACACACAGTGACATTTGTTCTCTGCTTTTAACCCATCCTAGTACCAGGAGTCTAGTACTAGGAGAAGTGGGCAGCTATTGTACAGCGCCCGGGGAGCAATGGGAGTCGGGGGGTGGGGGGGTTGTCCGGTGCCTTGCTCAAGGGCACCACGGCAGGGCAGGAGGTGAACTGGGACCTCTCCAAGTAGCAGTCCACACTCCGTATTTAGGTCTGGTCGGGGACTTGAACCGACGACCCTACAGCTCCCAGTCCAAGCTAGGGCTGTGCAATTAATCGTATTTTAATCGCAATTACGATTTTGGCCTGCCACAATTACGAAAACAACATAATCGAAAAAAACAATTATTTTGCTTTGCTAGGTTGTGACAGTGCACTGCAACATATTTGATCTAATTAATGTTGGTCTCATTTATTTGTATTTATCATATTTATATATGTTTAGTAGCTTGTGGAAGTGCGCTCCAAAATATTTGTTGATCTTGTTTATTGGTATTTATTATTTTGATATTATTTATTTAAATGTTACATTTATTTTTGTATTGGTTTTTCAGTTGAATTATACGTTCAGGGTAATTAACAGTTAAAAAGATACTGTTCAAATTATTATTTGTATTTGTTTTAAAGTTCAATAAATGGATTTTTTCAAAGTCAATGAATAATCGTATTTAATAATCGTGATATCAATTATTGACCCAAATAATCGTGATTATGATTTTTGCCATAATCGCACAGCCCTAGTCCAAGCCCCTACTGACTGAGCCACTGCCGTGACTTATTACACATTTCCTTCTCAGGCATGGATAACCAGACAGTGTTGGCGGTCCAGTCTCTGCTGGATGGCCAGGGTGAAGTTCCTGACCCAATCAACCAGAACATCTCTGGGACGTCCACGATCCAGACCATGGGTATGTACAGAAATCACAGTGAATGACAGCTGAGCGATAACCGAACAAACTCTATGTTCTTATATTCGGGTAATTTCTTTATTTGGCCAGTGACATGCATTACATTCATTCTATGCCCTATATGTGATCAAATGTTGTTCATTTTTAATTGTGAACCCTGCACATTCCTCTATTATTTGCATTTTTCAGAGTAATTAGTTATATTTTTATTGTCATTCCTTTTCTGTATGTTTATATTTCTTGTAAAGATTTCTCTTTTATTTAAAAATAGTTATGAATAGTTCTATCTATAACTTAATTTTCCTTACAGTGTCTATGTATGCACAGTTATACACTAAAGAAAATTCCTTTTATGTGTTTACCTACTTTGCAATAAATAGACAAGATAAGATAAGTAGGGACTATAGATTGAAATGTACTATCTTTTATTATAAATTACCATTTTATGACTGCATATTCAGCACCTCAAACCTGCATGTGTCCCCCCTACAGACGACGAGGACGTGTTCCTGTGTGGGAAGTGCAAGAAACAGTTTAACTCCCTGCCGGCCTTCATGATACACAAGAGGGAGCAGTGTCAGTCCAGCGTCCCCTCGCTGTCCACAGTGTCCCTGGCCTCCACCAACGCCTACACACCAGTCCCCTCCATCAGCTCGGGGCCACAGACTCCTGCCAACAGACAGGTGAGGATAGTTATAGGGTTTTTAATTAGATCAAGTATTTGATCAATATCTACTTAACGGGGAATCATATACAAGGTTGGGGTTAGCCAAATCTACGTGTATAACAAAATATATTACTGACAAAAAATATTACATAAATGTGTGTGTGAGTACACATCAGCCATACATATACACACATGTTTAGGAGTTTTAAATGAACAGAAGCTGATAACAAAAACTAGTATACAAAAAAACACAGGGGCTGAAGTCCAATAGTCCATTTAGCTTAGGAACCTTCCTAACGGAGTGAAATGACCCGGAAGTCCCTCAGTGGCAGCCATGATAAGTGCCGTTCAAATTCTCTAAATGAAAGGAAAGGAGGTTTCAAACTTCCTTTATAACGTCCTTTAGCTTAGGAACCACTGGACCTCCCTTTACGAAAGGAGAGGAGAAAATGCTGCCCCACAATGCCTTGCGGCCGCCGCATTTGCCGTCACACAACAGTTGGGCGTTCACGGAAACAACCGATTATGACCGAGAAATTATATCATGAAAGTTACGGTGCTTATTAAGCATTTTAAAACGTATGTGGTAAGTTGCCAAAGTGCTTTGTTTTGAACGTTCATCAGTATTATAATCAAAAAGAGAAATATGAACGTTAGTTTTTACTGAAATGATCAAATAAAGTCAACATTTCACAGTCTTTACTAAGCTGTGTGGGGTTTGTTCAACTTTTAAAAGATGTTTGAATGGTGATATACACAGTGATAGATGTTAAGGACTAACGTTTATAATATATACATTTGTATTGATTTTAAGATCTTTTCATAGTTCATACAATCATACGTATTGGGATCATTTGTATTAATGTGGACCGGAGGGAGAGGGTGACGGGCATAAGTTTCACTTTCCTTTTTTATTTCAATTCCAACTTTGGTCATGAAGAATATGTTTCTCTGTTGTCCCCGTTCATAAAGCATAAAACAACAGCATCAGAGCACGGTGCAGAGTCTCTAGATGAGTTTACAGTAGTCCCTCGTTCTTATTAAACATCCATGTTGTAGTCCGCTGTATAGAAAACTGTAGTTTCCATAGTTTCCCCACAGCAGCAGACGCACATTCATGAGGTCCGCTGGCGCATCATAAACACGTCGGATAGTGAAAGTGCAGTCGGTGCAGTCTCTTCTCCTAAGTCCTTTTGAATTCTCCTATCCACTATCCCTTAACCCCATGACGTTTCACTCAGAGGTCAAGGAATAGACGATAGGGTTAGAATTTAGGAGCTGATTTTTGGACTATTCGACTGCAACCAGGGACTAGGCAAGGTAATAGAAAAATAAAAAAAGCAAAATAAAACAAGGAACAAACCGGGGGTGTCAAGAGCAACACAAGGAATAATCCAGATACAGAAATATGGACAACAGAACCTCAGCAGGAAACCATCGACAGGAACATTGACGACAAACTGCAACACTGTGAAAGACAGGCATATACTGTATACACACACAGGACTAATGACATTGACAAGACAAAGCTGGCATGGTAGGTAGAGACCAAAGGGCAGCAGGGCTGTTTAACACAGGTGGATATAATCAGGGTGGGGCACACAATCTAAAAAGGCGGGAAAACACAAAGACGGGAAGTGAAACCAGACATCAAGCCAAGAAAAGGGATCTTACAAAATAAAGCAGGAAACACAAGATCCTGACTATAAGAAAAGGAGAATTTATAGAGATGTGTAAAAATAAAACTGTGCAGTAATATTTATTTTGTCTTATGACACTAAGACAAATATGTATTTTCCTTTTATAAAAGTATTTAACAAAGTAGGTTAGAATTATTTTACAATCGTGCATATTTCCCACAACTTCTGCTTCAGGCGTCCACCTACATCACAGTGCCTCCCTCCCCCCTCACACACACCCTGGTGCAGGGCAATGTTCTGGTCAGTGACGACGTTCTCATGTCGGCGATCTCCGCCTTCACCTCCATCGACCAGCCTATGGCCTCCATGCAGGCGCCAATACAGGTGATACAGCTCACATAGCACAGCAGATCAAGTAGGCTTTCTATTTAAGGAAGAAATGGGGGTATATATGTATTTATGACTTGCGTGTTATTTGTTAACACGCAATTCTTAAAGGAAACGTTGTTTTTTAAGCATGACGAATAAAGATATTCTTGATAACTAAAAGTATATGGTGACTGCAAGCAACAATGGCAAAACTGTGACAAACATCCAAAAGTGTTATTTAATGTTTTAATTCACAGAAATGTAAAAACTGTTTGCCATTAACAGTGCATGCATGTATGAGAAGTGCGCCTGTGTGAGACCTGAGCTTCCTTTTTTCACAAATTCTTCAAAAATAAACTTTAAATGATCATTTCTGGTTAGAAGTATTTGTAAAGTGTGACATGATATTCAGAGCAATGATATTCGGACAAAAACGTGCATTAGGAATCATTCTCGTATACATTATATGCTTCATCAATGTTGCTGTTCTGTAATCAAATGTGCTTTCTTTGCTGTTGCAGAGTAACCTGAGCATGCACACAGCTGGTGTATCGTACCTGCAGCACCATCATCACCATCATCATCATCATCACGCCCAGCAGCAACAACAGCAACAACAGCAGCAGCAGCAACAACAACAACAACAACAACAACAGCAGCAACAACAGCAGCAGCAGCAGTCCTCACACCCCCACACACAGACCCCGGCCCACCCCCTGCCGTCCGGACAGCCCCCCCAGCAGCCGCTCTCCTCACAGGTCCCGGCGAGCCACAGCAACTCGGTGGTGCAGGTGTACAGCACGCTGCCCCATATGGTGGGGGGTGGGGGGGCAGAGATCCACACCTTGGGTCTGCAGCCTTTCCATCCTGTACAAGTGAGTACAGCTCAACAGCTTAGTATTAAATATGTTATGCACCGCATATTTCCAGACTTTTAGGTGTTGCACAAGAAGAAAATGTAAGCTATTTCTGTTTGTGGTGACTGAAGGAAGTACATTAAAGGGACAGTTCACCCTAAATCAAAACTACATATCTGTGGGTGAGAAATGATGTGTTTTCTCCTGTATAGCTAATAGTTTATTGTTATTTATCCATATTGTTTTGATGGGAGTTTTAGGTGGTTGGAGCGCACGTGGAGCGACCGTAGAAATGTCTGCTTTAATAAAGTAGAAAAAGGATGTTGCTTTAGTTGAGGTGAACTGTCCCTTTAAGAAAACTCCAAATGATGGTGTATATATAAACCCAGTCAGTGGAATGATTAAAAAGAAGCAGATATTATTTTTATTTAAGATATAAAGATATAATGAAAAAGAACTATTATTAAATATCAAAAAGTGTAAAAAAATATAATTATACATTAAAGGAAATACAATAAGAAAAAGTACTGTGAAACTGGATGAACTGCGCAGTTCATCAGCAACTGAATTTCCTCCTAGGGGGATCAATAAAGGTTCATCTTCTTCTTCTTCAGTTTTAAAAGTGGTAGTATTGTACAGAAAAGTGTAGGATTATCAGATAGAGGAAAGTGCAAGGTGTCTAAGTCCAGAGTATGAGGAAGACTGAAATCATAAAGCACTGAGCCTGTGTGTTTCTCCCTCAGGTGCCCAGTCAGTGTGTGGAGAGCCAGTCCTTCAACACCCCCCCGGTCTACAGCCCCGGGAAGCAGTGCACCAAAACAAAGACCTGCAGCATCAGCGCCACCCTCACAGAGCTGGACCACTTCGAAAAGGTCATCATCCCCAAAAGGACAAGGAGCAGCAAGAAGATCCCTGATGGAGCCACAGGTAGGAGAGGGAATACATCAACACTCATTGCAAGACCAGCTTTTTTTTAGTATTCCGACCGAAGTCTTTCATAGATGATATTTGAGATGTGTCACAAGCTCTCTACATTCTATTAATTTCATAAAAAACAAGTATTGATTAGTTAAACTTTTAGCACGCAGTTTTAATTGTAAAAATGACGATAGGATAAATACTCACACACTTGATTTCCCTCCTCAGCAGAGCAGCTGAAGGGAAAACTTCCAAAGCTGAAGTGCAATTTCTGTGACAAAATCTTTTCGAAAAACTTTGACCTTCAGCAGCACATCAGAAGGTGAGTTAGAATGTGTAATGGTCGACTCTATCCATCTAAAAATAAACATTGTACCCAGAAGAAAGCCACTCAATTCCCTCACAGTAATGACCCTTTTCTGTCCACAGTCACACAGGAGAGAAACCGTTTCAGTGCATCGTCTGTGGTCGAGCTTTCGCCCAGAAGTCCAACGTGAAGAAACACATGCAGACACACAAGGTTGGAAAACGTTTTTCATAACACACATTTTAGTTTTTTTTTACAAAAGTGTCCACTCTTGTCACAATTTGGATGAAATTATAAAATGATGGATAAAGTTAACAAAAAAAATTCTTATAAAAATCAACAGTTTGCCTTAGATTTGAGGTAATGCTAACTCAAAGATATGCTAATTGCCTTTTTGTTCTTGCCACATCACATATGCAGTTTCCAATAGTGACAGATGCAGGATTCATAGCCATTTTTGAAATGAGTCTTGCATTTCAGATGGGCAAAAAGCAGGCCTCTCACTTCTAGCTGTTAACGACAGTCACCGCCAGACTTGAGGTGTAGTCAGATTGCTTATAACGTTAGCTTAAAACACAGCCCCCCACTGAAACCAAAACAATTTGATATCCTACACTGATAAAAAAGTATCAGAAAGTATTTCCCATGAGTACTGAGTGCAGCATAGTGCCAGCAAATCAACATCTGTCTCTATGTTAAAGGTGTGGCCTGGGGGTGTGGCCAGCACAGTGTCCAGATTACCAATCACACTGAAGGTGGTACCAGTGTCAGCCAATGAGGAGGAAGTGGGCGGGGAGCAGCAGCAAGGTGAAGAAGAGGAGGAGGAGCCACAGCAGCAGCACTGTCCAACACAAACAGAAGAGGAGGAAGTTCAAACAGGTAATTGCCAATATTCAATGATGGTATGGAAATTAGACCCAGTTGCCTGGTTGTTAGGTACCATGGGGCGCAGTAATGTGATTGGCTGGAAAGTCACTATACATCCTATTAGCTACAGAGTTGTTAAAGAAAATCTAATTTTGTATTCGCGCAATGTCATATGAATTTCAATAAAACATCACTTAAATGCATAACAGAAACATAACGTTAATACTGGTACAGCAACTATTTTTGTGTGCATTGAAAAATATTTTTGTCATTTGCATAATATTCACCATGAAAATTGGTGAATACTTCTGTGTGGATTTATAAATATTGAGAGAGGTTTGACTCCATAGTTGTCGGGACATTTAGAGCCATTTGCTAGCCGTTAGCATTCTTTAATGTTAGCTTTTACCTTCTGACGATTGTATTTATGCTTCAAAAGTCAAAAAAGCGATTCTCTTGCTGAAATATGATGAAAGTATCAAAAATAAGTACCTTTTCAGAAAATATTTGTTGCAATAAACCAAACATTTGTGTAGAAATTCCATTAGCTTTCTGTCAAGGTAACCAGCGTGATGCTAGCTTCCAAACTGCACTACAGAAATACATCATCCCTGCTGCACTCTTTATCATAAAACAGTTACTGATCCAGCATCAGATCAGCAGCTCCAGCTCTCACTATAAACACACTCTTGATTACAGAACCATCAGGGGAGATGGAGGAGAGTGCTGCTGAGGATCAGGCTGATCCGGAGGTCAGCCGAGGGCACGCCGCGCAGAACGGCCACCTTCAGGTCCAGATGCAGACCACCAACCAGGACCCACAGTGCCAAGCCCAGACCGTCCTGGTGATAGACAGCTCCTACCAGTGCCAGTTCTGCGCCAAAAAGTTCCAGACCTACTTCCAGCTGAAGTCACACATGACCCAGCACAAAGGGGAGCAGGTGAGTCTGCGATTGCTCCCTTTTTATCTCATGGGATTATCTGACAGTAGAGTGCACAGTGTCTTGCATCAATACATTACCACACAATTGGTTTTGACAAGAAATATGAACAATGAGGTCCATAGAGTTGTGCAGGAATGAGTCCTCAACCCGGAAATGAGTTAGCATTTAGCACTTATATAGCACGCCTCGAAGTCATTGTGTTTTTAATGATTTCTTTAGATGCCTGAAATAAGGTATGTGGTTAAGACAACCTTAAAGGTCCCATGTCATGCTTTTCCAGTTATTACCCGCCCCCTTGTGTGTTATGAAGCTTTTTCTGCATGTAAACAGTCTGCAGAGTCACAAACCCTCAAAGTACACCCTGTAGCGAGTACAACTCTAACACAGAAAAGACCTGTCTATGCTGCCCCAGAACGCCTCGTTGGAGATTTTTCTTTTTCCATTGTTTTCTTCTTATAATGTAGTAAGTACAGTGACGTATTGGGTATAGTGACATAACGTCTCCGCGGATTGGACTTCCTCACACACACACACACACTCAATCTTTTCTCAACTGCAGCTCTGCGGATTTCTCAGCCTGAACTCAGCCTGAACTCAGCCTGAGACGGCGAGACGCGGCGGGGCTCGGCCTGGGCTCGTTCTGGGCTCGTTCTGAGCACACACGCAGACTCACAGCCAGGCTGCAGGTGTGTGTGTGTGCTCGGGCTGGGTTCAGGCTGGGTTTCGCTGTGTCTCGCTGTCTCGCAGATTCCCCGCAAGCAAGCCAGCTCACACTGTCCGCTCCAGCAGCGAGCCCCGCAACGTCCCGCCAACACGGCACCCAGACCCCACGCAGCATTCTCATCTGTTTGTCATTGCTGGTGTCATTTCCTGGTTGCCAACGCCATTGTAACACATAATCACTGATGTTCCGCTGTAACGGTGGTGGACTCATCAGAACAGAGTGGGCGAGCTGACCAATCAGAGCACAGTGGGCTCATAGGGAGGGGGGTGCAGGAGCTCCAACAAGCCGTTTAGGACAGAGAGTGAATACACATACTATACAGAGATGCTGTATGAGAAACCAATGTGAGTTTGGAACATTGCACAATATAAATCTATTCTAGTATACCTCAACAATGGAATTATGATCAGTAGAAATGGCCATGTCATGGGACCTTTAAGAGATTCTCAAATGTTGTACTACCACATAAAATACCATATTTGTGTCTTTTACGTCTTGAAACAAGTGACTAAATAGGACTGCTAAATGTCAACGCGACAATAATTAGCCGCCTTAAGCTTAGCAGTAGTGACGTGAAGTCATGCTACCGTCAGGTGGTTTCTTTATATTTGCTTTGACAAATGTTAAGTGGTGTTGACATGTGGAGATTTTCCTGGACAAAACTTGTAAGGATCCTAAACATGTTTTTGCCACAGATTTTATTTCCTGCAATATTCTAAAATGTTATGGAAAAATTACGCTTTTGGTTAAGGGAGCCCTTGCGATGCAAACTTCCTGGTCCACATACAAAACTAGTCATCACTGCACCACTCTACTGTCATGCATTTATCAAGCATAATGTCTGTCTTTGCATGTTTTTTATTCAGTTATGTTTGTAATATGAAGCTGAGGGTATGCATTAGGAAGAGGATATGAGTAAAGTATCCTTCATTCGGACAAAATGGGATAGAATATTTAGAAAATATCCTACGTTTGTATTTTTACAACATGAATGACCACCTACCCTTCCCTGCAGGTTTATAAGTGTGTTATGAAGTCCTGCTCCCAGACCTTCCAGAAGCTGGATCAGTTCCTGGAGCACATCAGGACGCACCAGGAGCAGCTGACCTACCGCTGCCACCTCTGCAGCAAGGTGTTCCCCTCCCTGTTCGAGCTGGGGGTCCACCAGTACTCCCACTGCTTCTGCCCCCAGCAGAGCACCCGCAAGGAGCCCACCATCTACAGGTCAGCCTCGTCTCTCAACTGAAAAGTTTCTCTCGTTAGTTAAGCTCCTCAAGAAAATAAGACAAAACCCAGAAGTAAAAATTACGTTTTCATTTCCCCTGAGGTGTGGGAAGTGTCAGAGCAGATACTCTACCCAGGATGCACTGGAACAACATCTACTCACGGCCACACACAACTTTCCCTGCCCTCACTGTCAAAAGGTACAATACACACTCTGTAAAGATGTAGTATTTCGCTTTTTAAGATATACGTGCTGTGTCTGATCTGTTTTCTCATTGGCCTCCAGGTTTTCCCGTGTGAAAGGTACTTCAGACGCCACCTCTCCACTCACGGCGTCGGGGGGAGGTTCAAGTGTCAGATCTGCAAGAAAGCCTTCAAGACAGAGCACTACCTCAAACTGCACACACGCATTCACTCAGGTCTGGAACTGTGACGAGTTGTAGCAAAGTCAGGTCTAGTTTGCTGATATTTAAGACTAAAGTCAACCAAAGGACATCAATTCTAACTACCATTTTCCCAAATTATGAGCAGGTAAGCTCTAGATCAACTAAATCAGACTAACTGCACTATATCTGGTTGTCTACATTAAATATAAACAAATATAAAAAGCTATTTGCAGCATATAAAATGCACTTGAAACACATCTGCTCATACTCACATGATTTCCAAAAACACAACAAGCCATCTCAGCTGTAAAGAGAGGATGTATTTACAGTTATATTTGAAACTATAAAACTAGGCTATTCATCAGAACAAACATATTTAAATATGCCAATTCTGATATGATCATACCCAAAGTCTATCAAGAAGTGTTGCGCGAGCGGCTTTTTTTTTTTTACTCACATCTCTTGTAGCTTTGGCTAAAATGTTAGCATTTCAATTTTACCAGAGCAAACCCTTACATTCACCCTTTATACAGAGTCTATGCGTTTTCCCCCAGTTGTACGCCACCTCATTAAAGTGATAACTGTACAAGTCATTGATGAAAGTAAAGGCTTAAATGTTGATTCCATATTTCAGGGGAGAAGCCGTACAAATGCTCCCTCTGTGAGGCGACATTCAACAGGAAGGACAAGGTGAAGCGGCACATGCTCATCCACGAACCCTTCAAGAAATACAGGTGTCCCTTCAGGTAACTCCTTTTCCCTCTCCTTAGTTCATTCCTTTATCATTCAAGCCTTATTAATCCTTGCTCAGGCATTTTATGTCATTAGATTATTTCCTTTCTAATAATCTTATTGAAGTTATTAAATGTAATGCTTTGTTTTTAAATCAGAACACATGTGGGCTGCACCAAAGAATTCAACAGACCGGACAAACTCAAAGCCCACATCCTGTCCCATTCTGGTGAGTGAATAATACTAGTGATGTTTGGATAGCCAGCGGCGGACACAACGTTTCCTTTCCGATGTTATTTGTTTCAATTTTTACAGTAACCAGGTTGACTACAAATCCTTAGTCCATATTTGAAAAGCCAATAAATTAAATTGAGTGATAGAATATTATCTTTAGACGTGGAAGCAAGTTTCCTACAAGAGAAGCTTGAAAATAATTGTCTGCATGACTCAGTTTGTGTTGCACACTTGGACACAAACAGGACTTCCAGGCATGCATTAGTTTAAAATCCATTTACTATACACAAACTTAAGCACATCACTGCAGCGCTGCTGTTCCGCTGATCTACCATCAGCGGAACATGTTACCTGACATCTTCATACTGTCTAATTATTATTTCTGTATACATTTTCTTAAACCTAAATATGTTCATAAAGATTTCCACAGTTTAACGCCAACTACATAGATGCACATCTGCGTTAAAGTAGTCTGTGCAAACCAAGGCTTAGAGTTACATTTCCTTCTTTGTTGCTCATGCTCTGAATTTAAAACAAAATACTTTTGTATATTTTTTGGTAGTATTTTAGCTTTTTGCATAACTGAAGAAGTCTTTAATTCAATTAATCTTTACATTGTAACAGCCTTGACTCAATAAACAGTGTGTTCTCAAGGATGTGTATTATGCAGAATTCTCCCAGCTTTTTTTCTCTAGTGTAAATAAAGGTTTCAAATTACTCCTATATGAATGTGTGGGCCCCACATTTGCAGTTACATACAGTAGGTTAACTCAAAATACATTGTCACATTGATACCCATAATCCTCTCTTCCTCCAGGCATCAAACCCTACAAGTGTCTGTTCTGTCAGAAGGCGTTCAGCCGCAGGGCCCACATGCTGGAGCACCAGCAGTCCCACACTGACAACTACCGCTTCAGATGCTCCACCTGCAGCAAGGGCTTCACCCGGCACAGCTACTACAGAGACCACAAGTGTCCCGTGGCGGGTTACGGGACAGGAAGTGAGGGAGGGACGGGAGAGGGGGAGGAGGGCATAGGGGTGGAGATGTCGGAGGAGAACGATGGAGAGGATGACGGGGGAGGAAGCACAAACGGGGGAGACGATGGGGAGAAGGATGACAGCTCGGAGGAGGAGCAGGTGGAAACACATGGGGAGGAGGAAGAGGAAGAGGAGGAGGGGGGGACTGACGAGGGGGGGACTGACGAGGGGTGTCAGGCTGCAATGACTATCTCCACCATGGAAGGGCAGGATGACAGAGAAGAGGAGGATGATGGGATGGAACACGGGGCACTAGAGCAGATTCAGAGCAATGACCAAAACTGTCTGCGGCGGCCATGTTTGTAGTTTTAAACATTCTTTTTTTAACATGGACCAAACCAAGCTATTCATGATTTTAAACAAGTCTGAGAATTTGTTTCATTATTTGTTTTAAATTAAAACGTTATTTATACTATACAAACTGCTTTTACTGAACTGTAAAGAAAGGACAGTATGTAACCTGGTAGATCTTTATTTGCCAAAATAACCAGAGGACCATTGTTTTGTACCTGTGTATAGAGGTTTGTGCAAGTTAAGCCACAGTTGTTCATTTAAAATGTCATGATTTTTTATCCATCAAATAGTAACTTATTTTAATTTGTCTCAAAGTATATTTGTCTCAGTATCAATGTTCTTGCACTTTGAGTAAAAACACTCCCTGGTACTCGTACCGTTACACATGATCTGTTTGACGTTCAGTTTGTTTAACTTATGGGTGTATCCACTTTCCTTCAGTCTTTCTTGATGTTCTACTTTAGTTGGGGATATTTTAGATTTCTGAAAAAAGCTGATGGGAGACCAAATAAAAGGGCAGTATTGAAAGGTTAAATTAGTAATGTAGACACTATCAAGCTGTGCTGCTGCTGGAATTCCCCACATTTTGTGAGAAAAATGAAAACATGGTGAAAAACTGTTATTAATCTGACAAAGAAAAAATAGACACAAAATACAACACTTGAGGTCATGGGCGGTTCTAGGTGGGGCCAACAGGGGCCAGTGCCCCTGTAACACGGAGCTTGGACCCCCCTGTGGCCCCCCTCCAAAAGAATAAATCTATGATAATGCAATTCATGTGAAGTTACAATAGTTACATTACATTTCATGAATGTTATTTAATTTATTTAATAATAAAAGTTGAAAGTAACTTACTGAAACAAATGTTGTGACTAAAACTAATTGAAAGAAATAAGATAAAAACAGAGTTTGGCTGCATAAATAATGTATTGTTACCCCAAATGTATTTGTATGTTCTGTATCTTGGGCCGAAGTAATACAAAAAAAAGAGACAAACTCTGTTACTAAATCAAACACCAATACATTTCTTTTATGTTTTTTTTGTTTTACTTTATACTAAACTAAACATTTTTTTTTTAACTAAATAAACTACCCAGTATGAACTATTTTATAGCCCTTGGTAAAATGCACTAAAAGCCAAATCTAGATTTATTTTCTGTCTCCATTCATTCTAGTGAATGGCAGCATCTCCTTTACCCCCGCCCTTCCACAACGCCCACCAAAATCACAGAAGCAGAGACGCGCACCATCTCCCCCGTCTTCATCACCGTGCCTACGTCAACCACCTCCCCTCCCTTCAAGAAAGCATCTGCAGTCTCCGAAGCCTGATAAGGATGTGTGTGTACAAAACGCAACAAACTTTTACTGATATGTGCTGGGTCCAGGCTCAAGGGCATATGGCACTCTCAACTCTTTCCAGCACATGCCGGGGCCCTGCCTGCCAGTAGTTTTGCCGATATCTGTGTTGATAGGTAATAGATTAAGAGCGGTAAATCAGCTTAGAAACAGGAAGTGCTCAAACGTTTGTGTGAGGTTATCAAATTTAGCAGTCATTCCATGTCAGCCACAGCTTGTCACAACATTTTTTACTGATAGTGTATTTAATAAACTTAAACTAGCTTTATTAAATGTCAGGTCTTTGGCAGGAAAAACATTTTTAATCAATGATTTTATCACTGAGCACAATCTCGATTTTATGTTTTTAACGGAAACTTGGATTGAACAAAATAACAGTGCAGCTGTTCTTATCGAATCAACCCCTCCCAACTTTAGTTTTATGAGTCAGGAAAGAATGCATAAGAAAGGGGGTGGAGTTGCTATTTTGTTCAATGATTCCATTCAATGCAGGAAGACATCTTATGGGGACTTTGCTTCTTTTGAATATGTGGCCCTTCAGCTGAAATGCTCCTCTCGAGCTCTGTTCCTAAATATCTATAGACCACCCAAATACTGTGCAAGCTTTTTTGATGATTTTACTGAACTGCTGTCTATAGTGTGTATTGACTTTGACCGTTTAGTCATTGTTGGTGATTTTAACATCCATGTTGACGACCCCCAGGACAGAGGGGCTAAAGAACTGTTTTGTGTTCTTGATAACTATGGACTGACTCAGCATGTGGCGGAGCCCACGCACAATAAGGGGCACACTCTGGACTTAATTATCTCAAAGGGTCTGAATATCTCAAAGGTTGTGGTGACTGATGTTGCACTCTCTGATCATTCCTGTGTTTTCTTTGAGAGCTCTATTTCTGTTCACAAAAATGTTCAGAAAGAGGTAACCACAAAGCGATATTTAACTGAAAATACTAGGGAAATGTTTACTCATAATTTCTCATCCACACTTGCCCCTGCTAACATCTCAGTAAATGAGCTAGTAGATCATTTTAATTCAAAAATTAAAAATGTTATAGATACCATTGCTCCAACTAAGGTAAAGGAAGTGATTAGCAAGAAAATATCTCCATGGAGAAAGGCCATGACCGTGAGAACAGAAAAAAGAGAGTGTCGAAAAGCTGAACGTAGGTGGCGAAAAACAAATCTCCAGGTTCACTTTGAAATCTATAAAGAGAGACTTGGCCTTTATAATTTGGAATTGAAAAACGCACGACAGTCTTTCTTCTCTGACATCATTACCAAAAACAAAAACAACGCACGTGCCTTGTTTGCTACCGTCGACAGACTAACTAACCCCCCAGTGTCAGTAGCCTCTGAATTTCTATCCACCAGGGCGTGCAATGATTTTGCCTCCTTCTTCACTGACAAAATTCAGAAAATTAGACAAGCAGTCAGTGCCTCTGCATCAGGTACAGCAAATGTTTTGTCCCTATGTCCACCTAATATCAATTCAAACACCATGACACAATTCCATCAGATTAATGGTAAAAACTTAGAGGACATTATTCAACTTCTCAAATCCTCCTCCTGCTGCCTTGATATTATTCCAACAGGATTTTTCAAAGATGTCTTTCCTTGCATGGCCTCAGATCTACTTCATATAGTAAACACATCTCTTCACTCAGGTATTTTTCCAGAGGCCCTGAAAACTGCAGTCATTAAACCGCTCTTAAAAAAGAATAATCTAGAACAATTACAGGCCAATATCAAACCTGCCATTTCTAGGGTAAAATCATTGAAAAAGTTGTATTTCAACAGTTGAGTAACTTCTTGCATTTAAATAACTGTTTGGATGTGTTCCAGTCAGGATTTTGTCCAAACCACAGCACTGAGACTGCTCTTGTAAAGGTCTTCAATGACATCCACTTAAACACAGACAGTGGCAGAACTTCAGTGTTAGTATTATTAGATCTCAGTGCTGCATTTGACACTGTTGACCACAACATATTACTAGACCGACTAGAAAACTGGGTGGGACTTTCGGCAACAGTTCTAAATTGGTTTGAGTCCTACTTAAAGGACAGAAAAAACGTTGTTTCTATAGGTAAATACACATCTGAGTTTACAAATATGACATGTGGGGTACCTCAAGGCTCCATCTTGGGGCCTCTTCTCTTTAACATCTACATGCTACCACTGGCTCAGATAATGAAAAACAACAAAATAAGTTACCATAGCTATGCGGATGACACACAAATTTACGTAACAATTTCATCAGGAGATTATGCTCCAATTCAAACACTGAGTAAGTGCATTGAACAAATCAATGACTGGATGTGTCAGAACTTTCTCCAATTAAACAAAGATAAAACTGAGGTAATGGTTTTTGGAGCCAAGGCAGAACGTATAAAAGTTAGCGCTGAGCTTCAGTCTGCAATGTTCAAAACAACAGATAAAGCCAGAAATCTAGGTGTAGTCATGGACTCTGACCTGAGTTTCAACAGTCACATTAAAACAGTTACTAAATCAGCCTACTATCACCTAAAGAACATATCTAGGATTAAAGGACTAATGTCACAGCAGGATTTGGAAAAACTTGTCCATGCTTTTATCTTCAGTAGACTCGACTACTGCAATGGTGTCTTTACAGGCCTCACTAAAAAATCTATTAGAAAGCTGCAGCTAATTCAGAACGCCGCTGCTCGAGTCCTCACTAACACTAAGAAAGTGGATCACATCACTCCTGTTCTGAAGTCCTTACACTGGCTTCCTGTGTGTCAAAGAATAGATTTCAAAATATTGTTGCTGGTTTATAAAGCTTTGAATGGTTTAGGCCCAAAATACATGTCTGACCTATACTGCTAAATTATGAACCATCCAGAACTCTCAGGTCTTCAGGGACTGGTCAGCTTTCTGTCCCCAGAGTCAGAACTAAACATGGTAAAGCAGCATTCAGTTATTATGCTCCAAATATCTGGAACAAACTCCCAGAAACCTGCAGGTCCGCTGCAACTCTGACTACTTTTAAATCCAGGCTGAAGACTTTTCTTTTTGCCGCTGCTTTTAATTGAACTATTCACATCTTAAACTGCACTGTAACTTTTAACTTTTATCCATGTATTTTTTCTTTTAATGTTTATTTTATTATCTTTTATTTTTAATGACTGATTTTAAATGCCATTTTCATAATGTCTTCCATTTTTGTAAAGCACTTTGAATTGCCTTGTGTTGAAAGGTGCTATATAAATAAACTTGCCTTGCCTTGCCTAGTGAGCCAAGAGTGGGTGCTCGGGGGGCGGGGCTTAATGACAGGAGGCGGGGCTTAAGGGGCGCATGCTCTGTGAGCGCACATACAGGTTCTTCTGCTCTGACAGCCAGGCATGACGGGTAATCTGTGACGTTTCGCTCTCTCAAAAGTTGGGCCATTTTGACTTCCTGCGCCAATGAGCAGCTCTCATAGGAAAGAACGAGACTCGAAAATACATCATAGACGCATTTTGTAGTCTTATTGCATATTAGAAACGGAGTTGGCGACAGTAAGACTGCAATATAATGTTTATGTAGCAATAATACATATGACATCTATTTTTTAAATGTCTCCAGTACCGATAAAAAGATCGATAACTTTGGACCTTAACGGTACCACGGTCTTTAATAATTCAGCCCCGGGGCCCCGTTAATACCGGGGCTCGGTACCCATCCCTAGTTTTAATTGTGTAGCGTTGCTTACCTCCAGAAGGACTTTGAGCTGTTTCCCAGTAGAGAGAGCTGTCAGAGCGGTTCCTCTCAGAAGAGCAGCAGTGGGCGTAGTCACAGAAACGGCTCTCAGTCTCAACCGCTCTCAACTGATCTTCACTCCCCGACCGTTAGCGCCAGTTAAAAACCATGTTTTAAACCACTTTGTTTCAACCACTGCTGTCTCGCAGTTCCTCCATGTCCCGCCCTCTCTGTCTGTTGTCACAGTATGTCTGTCTGTCTGTCTGTCTGTCTGTCTGTCTATGTCTCTCTCTCTCTCTCTCTCTATTTATTTAGCTAAAATGGTAATCCAACTTCACCAGCTATAACAAAATGAGACCTTGCTGGTGTACCAGCTTCACCAGCAAGGCAATGCTGGTGTACCAGCTTTTCCATGCTGGTCTTGCTGGTGTACCAGCTTTCCCATGCTGGTCTTGCTGGTGAAGCTGGTACACCAGCATGGTCTTGCTGGTGATACAGCTTCACCAGCAAGACTGCTGGTAGACCAGCATAATTACCAGCTTCACCAGCATAGACTAGGTCTATGCTGGTTTTTTCAGCAAGGGGGGGGGACACATATTTATGTATAAAAGACATCAAAAAGTGCATTTTGCATGATAGGTCCCCTTTAAGGATCATGCTCTTGACTTTAATCTGTTATCTGTCCTCACTCCGGTATGAAACTGCAGTCATACCGCACTGATTCCACAAGGGGGCGATATGACTCAATGAAAAATACGCAACTAGAAAGACTACAAATCCCAGAATCCCAGTCCTGCATGCTGGCTCTTACGGAACCGACTAACTCCCCTTTAGTGCAGTCTCTGGATTTCCTTGCTCTCACTGAGACCTGGATTACTCCATCCAACACATCCACCCCAGCAGCTCTCTCCACAGCATATTCCTTCACCCATACACCCAGACCCACTGGCAGAGGAGGTGGCACTGGTCTCCTGCTCTCTCCCAAATGGAGCTTTTCCCTCTTCAAGCTACCTAACTTCACTCCTTCCACCATTGAATTCCATGCCGTCACTGTAACCCATCCTATACAATTAACCATTGTTGTTCTCTACCGTCCACCAGGCGCCTTGGGAGACTTCTTGGAGGAATTAGATAATCTCCTCTCACACATCCCTGAAACTGGCCCTCCCACTGTACTTCTCGGAGACTTCAACCTCCAGACAGGGAAGATATCTGAACTAACATCTCTTTTAACCGCCTTTGCTTTCTCACTGTCTCCATCCCCACCAACTCATAAAGCTGGCAATGTCCTCAATCTCTTATTCTCAAGGAACTGCACCACTTCTAACCTCTCTGTAAACCAGCTTCACACCTCGGATCACTTTTTCATTTCATTCGCTCTACCCCTTTCCAAACATAACGAACTAATCTCTTCTAATTCTGCACCTGTCCGCCGTAACCTTCGTTCCCTCTCCCCCTCTACCTTTGCCTCATCGGTGCTCTCAGTCCTCCCTTCGTCTGACTCATTCCAACTCCTGCCTCCAAACTCTGCTGCAGAAACTCTCCTCTCTACTCTTTCATCCTCTCTGGACTCTCTCTGTCCTCTCACATCTCGGCAGGCTCGTCAGTCCCCTCCTGCTCCCTGGCGAAATGACGCACTGCGTGCTAATAGAACCATCCTTCGGGCAGCTGAGCGGAAATGGTGGAAATCCAAACACCCTGACAACCTCCTAACCTATCAGGCTCTCCTCTCCTCTTTCTCTTCTTCGATCTCTCAGGCAAAAAGCACTTTCTTTCAAGATAAGATCCATTCTTCCTATTCCAATCCCAAAAAACTATTTTCCATCTTTTCCACCCTCTTAGAACCCCTTCCCCCTCCTCCCTTCTGTCAAGCGACTTTGTTAACTACTTTGAAAAAAAGTTTGATGATATTCGTTCTTCTTTTTCTAACTCACCGCTGGGTCACCTGACCCAGCTTTCACCCACACACTAACCTCTTTTCCCCCTCTCTCTCCAAGTGAGGTTCTTACCCTCATTACCTTTGCCCGTCCTACCACTTGTCCTCTGGACCCTATCCCCTCAAACCTCCTTCAGACTATCGCTCCTGATATTCTACCGTTTCTCACCCATTTCATCAACACTTCTCTAACTTCTGGTCACTTTCCAAACAGTCTCAAGGAGGCAAGAGTAAACCCTCTCCTAAAGAAACCCACTCTCAACCCGTCTGATGTTATAAACTACAGGCCTGTCTCTCTCCTCCCGTTCCTGTCTAAAACACTTGAACGCGCTGTCTTTAAACAACTCTCCTGTTATCTCCATCAGAACAACCTTCTGGATCCGCACCAGTCTGGTTTCAAGGCAGGTCACTCCACAGAAACTGCTCTCCTCGCTGTCTCTGAGGAACTGCACACTGCTAAAGCAGCCTCCCTCTCCTCTGTCATCATCCTTTTGGACCTGTCTGCTGCATTCGACACGGTGAACCATCAGATCCTCCTTCGCACTCTCCAAGAATTTGGAGTTTCAGGCTCTGCACTTTCCCTCCTCACCTCATACCTCAAAGTCCGCACCTACAGGGTAACTTGGAGAGGGTCAGAGTCCGACCCTTTTCAATTAACTACAGGGGTCCCTCAGGGCTCTGTTCTTGGTCCCCTCCTCTTCTCTTTGTACACAAACTCGCTCAGATCAGTCATTAGCCTGCATGGTTTTTCATACCACTGCTACGCTGATGACACCCAATTAATTCTGTCCTTTCCCCGCTCAGAGACCCAGGTCGTCGCACGCATCTCTGCTTGTCTAGCAGACATCTCTCAGTGGATGTCTGCTCACCACCTCAAGCTCAACCTTGACAAGACTGAACTGCTTTTCCTTCCGGGAAAAGATTGTCCCACACTTGACCTAACAATCAACATCGGCACCTCTGTTGTTTCCCCGACTCACGACTGCAAGGAATCTGGGTGTGACCCTAGATAACCTAGATGTCCTTCACTGCAAACATCACTGCTACAACCCGCTGCTGCAGATACACTCTTTACAACATCAGGAGGATACGTCCCCTCCTGACCCAGAAAGCGACGCAACTTCTGGTCCAGGCTCTCGTCATCTCACGCCTAGACTACTGCAACTCCCTCCTGGCTGGTCTACCTGCATGTGCCATCCGACCTCTGCAGCTCATCCAGAATGCAGCGGCTCGTCTGGTCTTCAACCTTCCTAAATTCTCCCACACCACACCGCTCCTCCGCTCGCTTCACTGGCTTCCAGTAACTGCTAGAATCCACTTCAAGACACTGGTACTAGTGTACCATACTGCGAATGGATCTGGCCCTTCCTACATCCAGGACATGGTTAAACCATACACCCCAGCACGTGCTCTCCGCTCTGCATCAGCCAAACGGCTCGCTGCACCCGCACTACGAGGGGGACCCAAGTTCCCATCAGCAAAAACACGTCGGTTTGCTATCCTGGCTCCAAAATGGTGGAATGAGCTCCCCATTGAAATCAGGACAGCAGAAAGCTTACACATCTTCCGGCGCAGACTGAAAACTCATCTCTTTCGACTCCACTTCGAGCGATAGAATTACTAACAAAGCACTTATATACTAATAAAGGACTGGCTTATCTAAAGCCAGTTGAGTAGCACTTGAAATGTTTTGGCTCTATGAAACCTGATGTACTTATATGATTCTGTTTTCTTCAAGTTTGTATCTTCCTGGTCGAATGCACTTATTGTAAGTCGCTTTGGATAAAAGCGTCAGCTAAATGTAATGTAATGTAGTGTATGTACAGCTCTCAACATGCCCAGACTTGTAGTGATTTTCACCTCTTTTAATACTTTTCGCCTCATTCTGAAAGAAAGAAGTGAAATGTGCCAACGTGACGGCCGTCTTGGTGTGTGGTGCGAAACGGGAGATGTAGTTCATTGAGCGGTTTTACGCAAAAAAAAGTGTTACTTCAGTTTTACGACACATATTTATTTTGTTTACTTGCAAAATTATCTTTTAAATTGACAAACATCATATGTGTAGTTCGTGGCACAATTCAAACGGGATCGAAAGATAATCTTTCTCTCGCCATTGACTTCAATACATACTTTTTCCGAAATAAGGTCCCATGGAGGTCCCCCGGAAAGGGAGGGACTTCGCCACTCTATTATAATCGGGTGTGCCAAATATTTACTGATTAAGAGTTTGATCTATAAAAAAGTCGGAAAATAGTTAGTTAAAAATGAATAGCTACATAAGGATCAATGTAAGCTTGGCTACAACACAATATTTTTCCATTTATCTTTCACGATTAATTGTTTGTTAACACTTTCTTAGAAAAATACTTTAACAATCAATCTATGATCAAAATTGTTCGCAATTATTTTCCTAATAGGCTACCACGTTTAAAATCATATTCCATTGTTCCAAAAAACGCCTGCAGAGAAATTATATTTACTGTATAGAGACCATATGATACAATTAGTAGCCTCCAATGTATTTCACACAAAACATTGTTTAAAATAATCAACTGTCATCTGTCATCATCACTGTGTGCTTAATGATCTGATGTGTCAAATGATGATCAGAGAATATTTAGACCCCAATTAGCAAATGTATTTTTAAACAAAAAGAGCAGATAATAATTATTGTAATATAAATGCTGATAACCATAAATAATTTTTAAATAAAAAACGTGTTAATGTGATCTTATACTGTTCATGGTTAACATTTCACATGCTTTTTTATGCCTTGCAACAGCAAAATGTCGTCAAATGTAAGGCAATATGTACACTGTAAAAAAGCATACATTTGGGATGTTTGTTTTGCTTACAGTATGTATAAATTCATTGCTTGACATTTACCTTCAGATGGACTGGTGGACAGCAGTTGTCATCTCACCTGGCTCCTCAGCTCGACTGGCCCCTGAAACTAAAACTTCTTCTACCCCTTTTCGGGACGTCTAGCATGGTAATGACGTTAAGAATAAGAAAAACGAATACATAATACCAATTCATATTAAACAGATTAACTCATTGAAGGCACAACGCTTTTTTTGATTTAATTTATTAAGGTGACAATTTCTATATTACACATCTTTCATGTACATCGGCAATTGAACAGGGAAAAGAAAATATAGTGTTACCATAAACCTCTTATTAAAACCTTTCTTTTTAAAAAAGAACATTTGTTATTGACACCATTTACAACTTGTTTTCATATACAGGAGAGTGACAGTGGTTATAGTTGTACATGGAGGGGAAAAAAGGCGGTGAATTATGATATTCACATATTTATCTGCCAACTCCCTGGGATTTTTATTTGTGTTCGACCCAGATCAAAACCTCACTCTGCATCAGGGGTAACAATCTGAGGCAACGTTTCATTATGATACATTCGTTATATTACACTGACTGTGTCTCAGTAGTTGTTATCCATGCTGAAGTGTCATCAGCATATAGCTTTTCCAAACTGGTGCACTCTCTCAGAACTCTCGGTTCATCTCTGCCATGACCATTTTGCTAAAAAAGGATTTCTGATGCCTGAGAATGGAAATAAGGCTACCTGAAGGCTCATGACAAACACCATCTCACCACCAAGTTGAAACAAAGAGCCCAGGACTAGATTATTCACATGCTGAGAAGAAAAGGGAGGGATATTTAGTTTTAAAGTGCTCTGCTATGTCACACCAACACCACCTGAGCTAGGGCTGCACAATTTGGAAAAATACCCACTGGCAATTATATTTTCGATATGATTTGCAATATCAGAGAATTATAATTTTTTTATTACGATTATCAATAAAAGGCTCCTATTATGCTCATTTCAGGTCCATATGTGTATCGTGTGACTCTACTGGACAAGTTTCAATTCTTTAATATTCAAAAAGGTTTTCTCATACTGCCTGTGCTGCAGCACCTCTTTTCACCCTCTGTCTGAAACCAGAGCCCTGTCTGCTCTGATTGGTTAGCTGGCTGGCTGGCTCGGTTGTGATTGGTCAACAGCTTAGAAATGTCCCCGCCCCTTAGCCTATGACGTACAATGTGTTGGAGCGCTAGCCAATACACGCTTGAGTGTTAGAGAATGATTTTGTGATTTACTTCACAAAAATCGACTACACGCTACAGGAAAGTGAAAACCCAAAAAAGCATAATAGGGCCTCTTTAAAAAAGTGATACGAGGATGGTGTGGTTTCTTTAAGAGGATCATACTGAACAATAATTTTTATTAATAGGTCTGTAGAATACTGTTAAGGCCGGGATATATTTTCAGCTCCACTTCATTCAGAATATTTTCAAATATGTTGCCTTAACAGAAATGTATATTATTGCGTTTACTGCAATTTGGATATTGCACTAGTCCATATTGTGATTTTAATAAAAACGTGATGAATTGTGCCGCCCTAACCTTTCTATTTAGAGTGTATTTAACTCACTCTAAATGAGCCACAGCACTCCCTGGATCTCTGTGACTGATCAAATGTGTGACATCAACCTAACCAAACAGATGTTTGCAGTTTCATTCCACATCTGGAGGTGTCTGTCAGTCACACACTTCTGTTATTACTGGATAGTTAATGAGATCCATAAAGACCACAGTAAGAATTCATACCTGAACACACCATTTTTTAAATTGTTTCAGACATACATTTATAAATCAGTATCTCGGTCTGAAAAAGCAAACTGACATCAGATGGATTTTGACTGTAAATAATAAGGAGGTAAATTATATTTTAAGTGTGGAAGAAAAACTGAAGTTTTAAATACCTCATGCATCTTTTTGACAGAGTTTTCTTCGTTTTTCCTGTTCATTTTGTGGTAGGCTGTTGGGCAATACGTTCATCAATCTCCTTCAAATGCTACATATGTGTTTTCTTGCAATTTCTTGTGGAGTTTTGCAAAGAAAGCATTCAAAATGTCACTTCAGATTTGATCTAAACTAAAAGAAAAAACAAGATTTGGTTTGACTTGCATTTGGTGTTTTCACTTGCTTTCTAAAAATAATAATTTAAAGTTCTGACACATTAATTGAAGTACTTCATACATATTTTAAAATACTTCATTCCCACTAGATTTGTCAGGATCTTGTCTTTAACAAACCCACCCTGTGAATTAAAATAACCCTCTGAAGCTGATCTTAACACGAATAACTTATAAAATACTCCCAGAATTCTCTATAATCCAAGACTCCCCATTCCCGTCACAGCGTTCAAACTCTTTCCCTATAAAACTAGGGTCAGTCTAAGTTCTGTTGTGCACATTTCCCACTACTTTAAAATAATGGAGGCTCCAACACTTTTCACAATCATTAAGCGATTCACAGATCAAATACTATAGAACACAAAAACAAGTGATCTAGTTACGCGTGTTAGACATGTCGCAAAAATCTCTTTGCAGCACCAAGATTGTCTGTTATTTAAGCATTAATTTGGGGCACTTTAAAAAATAAACTACGACATAGCAATCATTTTATATGGTCACAAAAAAATCCACTTAAGTCATGAGAGAAAGTGAGAGAGATTTCAGGATGTGATCAAAGTCACCGTTTGTCATCATTTTAAATGTGGACACGATAAACAATCTTAGGGCAACAACGTCTGCTTTTTGGTGAAAGGGCACAATGAGTAGATTTTTCCAAAATGTATAGATTGTAGAACAATCAATCCTCACTTCAGAAGTGTGTGGATCTGGAACAGAGACGTGGATTTTCTCTTCTTTTTGCCGTTACTTGTCCGTTTGTCGGCAACTTCTACCATAAAAATGTAGCGACCAAGGTGCCAGATTGTAAGCATTGATTTAGGAAAAAAACGCAGACATAGTGCCAGGAAAATATCAACGACATGCAGAATAAACTTCCTTCCAAAACAAAATTGAATCTGGGGATAGCTTTTATCTGCTAGCGAGCACCGTCACCCTCGTTTAGCTGACTCTAAATGTGTTAAAAAGAATTGTACTTGAACAAATCCTACTCATTGTGCCTTCAACCCCGTTAAAGAAAAAGCACACCCTCTCAATCTTATCTTAAAACAAACACGTTAGGAATTAAATCACGATCAAAGTCACCGTTGCGAGACTCTACTTTAAGAACCTGTGCCCTTTCTGGTTTTAAGATTTCTACGATGCCCCCCCGTTGCTCGCCGTTACATGATGTGAGGAGGGGGAAATCCTGCAGATTTCATGGAGGGTGCGTTTTCAGGATCCCATGCATAATTTGCCGCACATCCTGAGAGATGGGAGCAGCTTCAGGTTCAGAAGAATACAACATTTTTCAGGTACTTATCGAGCATCGAGAGGCCTGCCGCGAGCAGAGAAGACCATAATCCCAGCTCCGTAGCAACAGCATGCAGGCGACGGTCTCACACACGCACCCGAAGGAGTAGCAAACGAGTGTGTGCGTGCATGCTTGAGTAGAATGAAAACACCCGCTTTTTCTGAAGGGGCTCCCTGATTTGAACACTGTATTTTCCTTCAGAGTCCTGCACCCACTATCAAACGCCTCCTGATTCCTTTCACTCCTGTCCGAAGCCTTCCGTCTCCTCGATGGCAAACAGCAGCTTCTCCTTCATTTGCTCGTAGCTCTTGTATGGCGGCAAGTCCAGTCTGTTGAAGCTGGGAAAATAAAGTAAAAAAATAATATATATTAACTGTTTATCAGCTTGGCATTGGCCTGATCCCCAGACGGTGATTATTCAAAGTAAGAGCGGAATGAGCATCGTACAAGACTCTGAAAGAATACTCATTAATCCTTGGGCTATGAGGTCAATGTTTGTAGCTGATCCCCAGTAAAACAACTTACCAAGCTAAGAGACCAAACTAAAGGGGGTAACAATACAAATTCTTACAATGAACTGCTACAAACAGGCTTAGTTGTCTCCATGCCTGGGTTCTTTATATTCCTTAAGTCCATAAGAGTGGTTCATTTACATCCACCGACAACGTTTTTGGAATAATGTCATGTGATCTCTATCGCTGCCTGTCAGATGCACTTTAACTGAAAACAAATATACTTTCTACACTCTGTTGTTGGGTATGCTTGTACTTATCACCTTGAGAGATGCAAAATAAAAATGTCACCACCTTTTTTCTCTTTAGTTTGGACCCCTTTTCCTATCAGGTATGAACATTTGTATTTGTTAGTTTGAAGAGGATAAAGAAATGGGTTGCATCACTAGGTTCACTGCTTTAAATACATTTTTGATAGTATTTTGTAGCTTTGTGTAAAATGTATTGAAAAGGTCTATGACATAAAGTCGCCTGAAGCAAAAGTCTGAGCTATTAATTAGTTTGTTTTGCTAAGTAACAATATGGCCTCTAGGCAGAGGTGGGAGTAAGTCCTACATGTGCAAGTCATGAGCAAGTCTCAAGTCTTGACCTACAAGTATCAAGCAAGTCCCAAGTCACTGTGGTGAGAGTCAAGCAAGTCAAGTCAAGTCATTACTCAGGTCAAGTCAAGTCAAGTCAAGTCAAGTCATACGAAATTCTGATGAATAAGCCCAGTTTCCACATTTAAATCAGTTAAAAGACAGTGGTTATGAAAATGGATTCAACCCACACTATGATCTTCATTACATACACAGTTAATCATTTGAAATCTAATTTAGACCGATGACAATCATATTAGATCAATATTAACCCTAGAACTGCAGACAATATAGCTAGGACTCAGTCAAAAAGTCTGTTCAAAAAGGCAGAATTCCAGGTAAGAAAATCATATATGGCATTTGCCATTACACATATTTAATTTAAATGTCTGTTAACACTAGAACCGCCAACAGCACCAGCACCTACATAGATATCATTTTCAAATCATTTAATTTGTTCCTCTTCATAATTTCCTTATAAACTAAGTAGGACGATTTAAAACTCACTTAATTGGGTTAATTTAGAAATTGCTTCAGTTTATCATCATAACAGATCAAAAAGTTCAGATTCATTTTACAATAAATCAAGGAATGATGCACTTCTACAAACAAACACAACATAATTAAAACATTTAAACAAACTACTAAAAGTAGATGAACTACATGATTCAACAGTTTACAGTAACTTCTGATAACACAGGGGAAATAAACGAGGCATCTCTTTTCCTCTCTCTCTCTCTCTCTTTCTCTCCCTCTCCTGACAGCCCGTCAGTATCAGGGTTAGTACAAATGAATCCCTTGGAGGTTCTAGTGTTCATTTACCGTTTTGTCTTCTCTTTGCAATGCTTCATCGATTTGAAACCAAGTCTAACGTAGCTTAAACTTAACGTTAGCTTTCTAGCTAACACAACACATTCACGCACCTTTCTCTGTGGGTTTTTTTGTAGTGACGAATGAAGTTGGATGTTGTGGTGGTCGTGTCACTGATCTTTATGCTGCAGACCCTGCATACCGCTGTTCTCTTCTTATTAGCGTCATCGACAACATAATCCTTGAATCCAAACTTCACTATTTTTGGAGTAACGCTAGCCGCTGCCATGTTAACTGACACTCCTGCCGTCTAGTGGGTTGCCAGGTTTGCGCGCATGGCGCTATAATCACCCAATCATGTTTCGAAAAAACTAAACGTAATATCTCACTACAAAAACAAACGCAAATATTTAATTTAAAAAAGTCAAGTCCTTTCAAGTCATCTGTCTCAAGCTTAAGTCAAGTCTCAAGTCATGAATACCAAGTCAAAGTCAAGTCAAGTCTTTTATCAATGTCCAAGTCCAAAAATATGCGACTCGAGTCAAGTCATGTGACTCGAGTCCCCACCTCTGCCTCTAGGTTTGATTCACCCCGAGTCAATCTGCTGCAGGTTCTTGTGAAGTTTGCATGAACTCACCACGTGTGACTTCTGGGAAGCCAGTTTTCTTTTCCCACCTTCTCGATACAGAACTTCTGGGGACCATTGCTTCCTGTAAAGTAAAAATAAAGTTTATTTAGTTAAATATATACACAAGAAACTGGGACTAACACAGTGAGATCTCACCGATACCTAGCTTTACAATCTTAGTTAGAAACTTGTGTAAAAAACTAAAACTAAAGAAAGTCATATATATTGATGTTTTACCCATAAGGTCGGCAAAGCCTCCGACAGGCAGGCGACAGGTTCCTGTGACAAACTGCAGCAGCCTCATCCTCTTCTCGTTGTCCGCCTCCTTTATGAACTGTGGGACAAGAGGCAGGCTGGTTAAAACACTGAAAGGTCCAGGTAAACGTATACAATCACACATTAGACATACATCAATTATTCATTGTGTAAACAGAAAGGACGGGTTTCGGTATTCTTTCTTGTTTTTTACCAATAATGAACAGAGAGATTAAACATAAACCAAAAAAGGTAAACCACCTCACTGCTGATTGATTTGCTTCAATGCAATGATTTCAAAACACAATACTAACCAACAAATTGAAAATTAGGCTTTTAGCACAACACGTTTTTGGACTGATACAATTTCTTACAGAGGTAAGGTGCAAGATTTTTTTTTTTCTTCAAAAATGTATATACATGGTCATAAATCCCTCAAAGATGACCATATTAAGAATCTAAGACCTTGCTAAAGCCATGCAAAAATCCATTGACATTTGACATTACAGTGAGAATCGCATTTTTTGGGCGAAACCCCCAGAAAATCATCTTATCAATATATCTAGGAAAGCCCTCAGTCTATGGTTTGCAGTTGTAAAGTTTCATAAGGCTGTCATTATCCTAAAGGTCACAACAGGTCATTTTATTAAGTGAGGTCAGTTTACAAAAAATTGGATAACATTGCATCGTGAATAAAGTCAGCATTCCTGTCATTCCAAAGATATGCAATGCCAAGAATGTGAAGTGACCCTAGTATCCTCAAATATACAAATGTACCTTTTAAATGAGGTGAAAACAATGCATTTGTGCAGCATGCAAATTTCTCTGCAGTTATTTTGCCTGAAAATGGCCCCTATGGATCTTTCTCCGTACATTACGTTAATAATAAAGTTTACTAGGTGAATGCTGACCTGCCAGAACCAGACGATCTGTTTGCTGCTGCGAGCGTAGTGTCTGTAGATGGTGTTTTTCTGCCAGTCTGCCAGGTCGATCTCCTGCATACCACACAGCATCACCTGCAACAGAAAACATGTTATTTAAATAAAAATATTTGTTTATTAATCTAAAAAAATTACTTTGAAACCAGCTTGCATTTCTTGCAGCACTTTCAGGTAAAGAATAAGAGTGTCAGGTTGTTCTCTACCTCGAGCTCTTTAGCATCGAAGTACTGCAGGTACTGCTGAGGGAGGACCTCGTTGAAGCCTTCAAAGAAAGCCTGAGTCTGCTCCTCCACCCCTCGGGACAGCCTCCACTCTGCTACCAGCCTGCGGGGGGGGGGCGGAGGCACACGCACATGTTACACTCTACTTCATCAAGTCAGAAACACTGCAAAGTGGTCTACAGTAAAACCCTCCAGACATTATAACTGTGTGACTTATGAGTGAAATGATCAGTTATCCACCTGATGTACTCCTCCTTGTTCTCCTCCGTCACCTGGAGCTCTCCTCCGTCTGGCTTCAGCTCATGGGTGGAGATTTCCCCCAGGATCTCTTTGTCCACGGAGAAGAACATCTCCAGCCCGCACTCCTCGATGTTGTTATCCCTTGAAAGTTAACACACTCTGATCATTCATATGATTTTGGAGATGAAACACCAGATTATGTTTAAAAATCTATTCATTTTGTATCCAGATACAAGGATATCCATAGCCTTGAAAAACTATTAATATTAAGTATTTTCAAAACTTTAAAGACTTTGTATGAAAGCTAATACTTTAACCACGCTTGGTACTTTTTTTTGTTTTGTTCCAATTAATCTCACTGAACATGATTTATTAATACAATTGATTAGATTTCATTGGTCTAATATGTGTGCCATCAGCATCACTGCAGACTGCTTTGATTTGGTAGGAAATGGTACATTTTGTATTGGTTTCATAGAATTAAAATAACTTGAGCTCTTCTTGAAGTTCCATCAAGAAGAACATACTAATATTAAAATCAGGTCCCACCGGTCAATATGGAGGTTAAAACGGACCTTTCTGGGTAAAATACGTGTTCTGGTTGTGAAATCAAACTTGTCATTTTTTTTGTTGACCGGATTGTGTGTGTTTGAGTTGTCTGCTTTTATTGTCCATGAAGTTTAACTGACATTGAGATATAGCTGCTCTGATTAATTAAACGCAAATATTCTATGAGATTGCTTAATCATTGTCATTTCAGGTGTGTTTTATGCTCTTACATTTCTACAAATAGCTGTATTATTGTATAGTCTGACTCATTTAGCAGGACTTGCCTCAGACACTCTCAAAGGCTTATGATTCAACCTGGATTAACCATGGATTGTGTGACCAATGGACCTTCTGAGCCATAGTCTGACATCACAAAATAAAATCATCCACAAACACAAAGAGTACATTCAACAAGATGCTGAAAACTAGTCAAGGGTGTCTGATACATTCAGAGTGTTAATCTAAAAAGTCGACTCAAACTCACTTGATCCACATGAGCGAGTTGTAAAACTCCGGGTCGATCGACTCCAGGTCTTTGAGGGCCAGGGGCTTGTTGAGCATGCGCTTGTAGAATGGCAGTGAGAAACCAGTGTCGATGAATTTGCCGTGGAAAAGAGCCTGATGGACAGAAACACACTTTGCTTCCTTTCTGTAATCTGAACAGTACAAAACCCTAAAACTATAAACTAATGCATTAGCCGTTAGCTGGTATTTACCGGACTTTGACCAAAAAATCTGTTGAAGTCAAACACGTTAAAATGTGTCATATTGTCCAGTGGAAAAAATCCCCCCCAAGCACAATTTGAAGTATATGTTCTTATTTTTTGTAAGGTTTAAAGCTGAGGTAGATAGTTAACAATTCTGGTGTTTGTGTTTTTTTTCTTCTTTTTTCTGCAGTCTATTGACATGACTTCCCCCCATTTGTCCGTGACAAATCTTCCTGGACACAATGACCGGCACAACGCATAAAGCGCGACTCACCATGGCAATGAAGCGTCCGATGAACTTGAAATACTTGAGGTGGTCAGGGTTGATGTAGGAGGCGGGGTTAATCTGGAGACAGTAGTTATCTTTGCCGGCATATTCAAACAGGCAGTACATGGGGTTCAAAACTTCATGGGACAACAGGAAGAACCACTCCCTGCAAGAGAAGAGAGCAGAGTCATAAGAAAGGGACAGACTCAAACCAGACAGGCAACACCATCATTTATCAAAATATCAAAATGATTATTGAGAGGAGGACCAAGTCAACTGCAATAAAAATAACTTTCTTAAAGCACCATAACACATTTTCTTCACTACTCAGGATTACATATTCACAACTATCTAATTTACCTGGCAACGCCTCCGTAGTCGAGGCCTTCTTCTCCAGGGAAGATGATCCAAAGTCTCCTTCGCAGATCTTGAGCGTTGAAGCTCATAATCTAAAATAGAGACAATGAATTTAGAGATTGGTGATGTAGTGACTAACTAAACAGTAGCCTTCAAGAGCCAAGAGCAATCTCAACAACAATTGATAGAGAGCAGATTATTGATCATAAAAATGATCGTAAGTGTAAAAGCAAAACTTCTTGTAGTAACGTAAACTTTGTGTGTCATGTTTGGGACACTTTACCTGCTGGAAGGAGTCCTCAAACAGGGTTTTCCTGGTTACGCTGATCTTGATGTGTTGAGGCATTGACAGTTGCTGGGGAAAAGGGGAAATATCAGAAGCATTCATCAAACATGATTTCTTTGTGACATGGCAACACATACTGTTACTGCACGGTGTATAAGAAACATAATAGGACTGCATTGAGCAATAGTATGTATGACAAGACTCAAAGGACCAACAATCAGAATACTTTTTTCATTATGGGGAATCAAATTGGGTTTTGTGACAGTGAAAAAATAGATGCAAAAATTGAATAAATACATCAATAAAACATAAGTTTAAGATGAGCAATTAAACAATTTTATAAAATGAAATAAATATATATAAACAAAAGTAGTTAAAGTAAAATGTCCCAAAAAGATAAGATAAAATAGAATAAAAGTATTTATATAAACAAACGAAGTCAAAGTGAAAATGTGCAATCAAATATAAAATAATCTTTATATAAAACACAACAAATTCAAGTAAATGCCTAAAAAAAGATAACCATAATTAAATAATTATATTTATTTAAACATAAGAAGTTAAGGCAAAATGTAAAAAAAAAGATAAAATAGGATTATTCACATTAACAAAAGAAGCTAAAAAGTTAAAATGTGCAATATAAAGATCAAACTAAGTAAAAATCTCAACATTAACATAATAAAATTAAGGTAAAATGTAAAACAAAAAGATAAACATAATAAATTAAGATATTTATATAAACATCAGAACTTAAGGCAAAATGTTCATAGAAATCCAATACAAATGTTTAAATAAACAAGACGTTATCCTAAAAATGTCCAAAATGTACTACAAAATAATAATTACAATACATTATCATATTCTAAATAAGACATACATTTACCAATGCTTATTTTACAGCTGGAAAAGAAAATATGGGCCCAAAGAAGAACTTCACTTTAAGTATAAGTAAACATTGATCCTATTAGAGCGTGCACGGTTATGACTCTTACCTGGCACCAGAATCTGAAGTACTGTACTTTGGCTTTAAAGTCTCGAACGTAGGTGATCTGAGGTCCGTTTTCACTGTGAAGGCAAAGAAGACAGAAGATTCTGAGTATCCTTTTACCTTAAAGCTGAAGCGTATATTTCTTGCCATTTTCCCCTGTTGTTCAATTGTCATCTCCTCCAAGGAGGTTTTGTTTTGGTCTAGTTTGCTCGTCAGATTTTCAGCAGAAAAAATACTTTAGACATTTGTAATGAAACTTGGTGGAAGGATCTAACGTGTGTTGAGGAAAACATTTTCCTAGGCCTCTGCCTTTCACCCAGTTCATCACTCTACTCCTATAGTCAGCGTTCAGGCATGCGACCTCTGTTGCCACTTTCTCTCTTCCCTTGAGAATAGTTTTGTCTAGAACTAGATAAATACTTGGGATTTGGTATTAGTGTCTGCCATCAAGTCGAGCTCTCCTGTGTTCCTTTTGTGTTTCAAGTCCTTGATCCAGAACTTTCCATCACAACGTGCGCCAAGGACGAACGCAATCACACATTGAAAATGCATGGCTTTTATCTCACTTTTGTTGTTTTGTTACCATCGCGAGATTTGTCATTTGGCCTAGGTGTACGTCTGAGCTGTCATAGTGACCTTCTTGTTAAATGTGTGAATATATTAAAGATTAATTGGCCAGTGTGTTGATATCCTGTCAGTTCATATTGTCACATTGACCCAACTGTTTTTTCCACAAGTGTAACCAAAGCATTTACTCTCAAGTCCTATTATGCTCAGGACTTATAATCATGACTCAACTGAGGTGTTACATCTGAAAGGATAACACGTCAGGATAATGCGTAACAAGTGGTAAAAATAGAAGGAGGATTTCAGAGACAGTGAATCATTTAGTCAAAGATCTGTGTAAACAGTACTATCTGGTAGAATAGAGCTGCCTGGTGATGTATTTTCAATAATGTGAAAAGCATATACAGGCAAAATACTTTGGGTTGGAAAAAAAACATTAGCATTAGGTAAATATTTTGTCTTCTTTGTTACTCATTCATTTATGGTATGCAGATGAGCTGGAAAGACCAAAGCCAGAATGTTAGCGGCAAAATGTATCCAAGAAGGCCCTACTAGTATAAATGATTTACTTTATCACCTAAAAAAGAAAACATTCCCTCAATAATCCGTGAAGGTATTTCATGACACTGATGTTCACTAAACATTTTTTATCTGTGTCGACCTGTTAGAGATTTCCTAATAACTCAGAATGTCTTTGGAATACAGGAAACAGCAGTACTCTGTCAAACAGGTCTGATGCATTACTCTAGTTGTCAGGGAACAACACGAATCTGCAAGCTCATATCATTTATTTTAACCATCCCACTGTGCCTTGGCACGATCTGCTTTCTGATTTATTTTCTACTGAGACAAAGACCTTGAAGAGCGTTGTTGAGGAATTCTTCGGCAAACAAGCAAACCGGTTGCAGCTGATGTGGAACTTTCTGTTGAGGCCGCTAATGCGTAATTGTTAAACTAACTGGAATGTGTATTTTTCGCACCAAAAAAAGATGATCAGATGCAATTAAAGCTCTTTTTTGTTTAAAAAATATGTGTTGTCCTTACTTCCAACAGGGTTTGGCAAAAGCTCAATATACCAACTGTAGAAAACGTAGGGTACAGCGTTTAGTTGCTCGAAATGGTTAAAGGTCCATCAGATTGCGTCCAGACGCATTTTGGTTGCTGCCTGGGAATTCGAAAAACTGAACTGAGAAGTATCACATGCAACTATTTGTTGTTTGCTAGCCACAGATCTTATTTTCTGTAATATTCCAAAATCTCATTGTTGCAGAAGACGCTTACTTCCAAGTTGGACAACAAAAATGTGCCATCACTGCACACATTTTTGGTTAATGTTTAAGTCTGAATATTTTAAAGGTAGGAGAAACAACATGGCAGAGGACTTACAGTGAGGACTTTCCAGTGCGAGGGTCGATGTACGTGGTCGCTCTCCTGTTGTGGTCCACGAAGTAGGGAATACCGTCTACAGTGAACCTCATCTCCCAGCCCTCAGGGAGAGGCTTGTCATTCAGCAAACTGAAAAAACAAAACAAGATCAACCTTTAGTGATGGACCCTTTCATAAAAACCTAAATAATACAGCAAACTAAAGTAGGTCACATACAACTGGTGCTACAGGCACTATATTATAATTTTCATCTAAAATGGTTTTCAAATATGAATACTAACCCCTGTGTTCGTGGGTCCTCCCACTGTGTTGCTCGCGTAGGGTGATGTACAAAATAAACTCTGCCAGTGGAGTCTGTTCTCTTCTCTGAAAGGACACATTAACAAAAAGACAAACATTGGAAGAATTAGTTACTATTATTATCAATGTGTATACCATCAAAGCACTGACAGCAATTTAGGGTTCCTTCTCAATTTTAAAACAATCTTTAAATTCAAAATATGTAATGTCGTGCCACTAGGGGTTTCAATAAAATAGTTTTAGATTAGAAATCTGTGTTTCGCCGATGCAGTTGCAACTTATGTTGTCAGGTAGTTTCTCTGATAATGTAGGATCCAGACGTTCAAATTAACACGGTGAGTAAAACTGGTAAAAACACTTAATACGTTTCATGTTCAAAATCATTCTTGATTCCAATATGATCTCTGGTCTCTTTTGGGCTAACTTAAAATCAAAACGTCCAATGATTCAAATCCATCACAGTTACATACGATATATAGTTAAAAACAACCCCTATCAAAACATTGTAGCGTAAAAATGTGGCTGAAAACGTAATAAAAAGTCTAATTATTACAGCTTCTGGCAGACTACAAAACTGAAGCATGAGCAAAGGAGAGATTCCTCTTGGTTTGAAACATATCTCGTGTAATGTCAATCAGAGGTGGGAGTAAGTCCTACATGTGCAAGTCATGAGCAAGTCTCAAGTCTTGACCTACACGTATCAAGCAAGTCCCAAGTCACTGTGGTGAGAGTCAAGCAAGTCAAGTCAAATCATTGCTCAGGTCAAGTCAAGTCAAGTCATACAAAATTCTGATGAATAAGCCCAGTTTCCGCATTTAAATCAGTTAAAAGACAGTGGTTATGAAAATGGATTTAACCCACACTATGATCTTCATTACATACACAGTTAATCATTTGAAATCGAATTTAGACCGATGACAATCATATTAGATTCATATTAACCCTAGAACTGCAGACAATATAGCTAGGATTTAAAACTCACTTAATTGGGTTAATTTAGAAATTGCTTCAGTTTATCATCATAACAGATCAAAAAGTTCAGATTCATTTTACAATAAATCAAGGAATGATGCACTTCTACAAACAAAAACAACATAATTAAAACATTTAAACAAACTACTAAAAGTAGATGAACTACATGATTCAACAGTTTACAGTAACTTCTGATAACACAGGGGAAATAAACGAGGCATCTCTTTTCCTCTCTCTCTTTCTCTCCCTCTCCTGACAGCCCGTCAGTATCAGGGTTAGTCAAAATGAATCCCTTGGCGGTTCTAGTGTTCATTTACCGTTTTGTCTTCTCTTTGCAATGCTTAATCGATTTGAAACCAAGTCTAACGTAGCTTACACTTAACGTTAGCTTTCTAGCTAACACAACACATTCACGCACCTTTCTCTGTGGGTTTTTTTGTAGTGACGAATGAAGTTGGATGTTGTGGTGGTCGTGTCACTGATCTTTATGCTGCAGACCCTGCATACCGCTGTTCTCTTCTTATTAGCGTCATCGACAACATAATCCTTGAATCCAAACTTCACTATTTTTGGAGTAACGCTAGCCGCTGCCATGTTAACTGACACTCCTGCCGTCTAGTGGGTTGCCAGGTTTGCGCGCACGGCGCTATAATCACCCAATCACGTTTTTCGAAAAAACTAAACGTAATATCTCACTACAAAAACAAACGCAAATATTTAATTTTAAACAGACAAGTCCTTTCAAGTCATCTGTCTCAAGCTTAAGTCGAGTCTCAAGTCATGAATACCAAGTCAAAGTCAAGTCAAGTCTTTTATCAATGTTAGTCAAGCAAGTCTCAAGTCAAAAAATATGCGACTCGAGTCTGACTCGAGTCAAGTCATGTGACTCGAGTCCCCACCTCTGGTGTCAATACACAACTCAACAAAATATACATGATTCCAATTGTTTTAAGACGTTTTTGGCAAAAGTGTTACAAATTATATATTTAAAAGTCCTTCAACTAAATAATTTGCGAGACGTTTGCGTATGGAGGGATTTTTGGTTTCCCCCTGTCTGTATTTAACCTTAACCTATGTTCTATAGCCACCACTCAAAATCATCACTGCTCTGAATGGTATTTAATTTAATATTTAATGGTTTAATTGGTATATCATCATTTGAAGTGAGATGTGACTACTCTTCTGGTACAACAAGGTACACCCTCCTGCGTTGTGTTGTTATGAATATTGTATCAAGTGAACGTGTCTGCAATAACAAAGGATGAGGCCCCCATCCAACAGGTGCCAGAAGAGGATAATTAAATATTGAAATAAATCAGAGTGGACTTCAGATTTAGCAGTTTGTTGGCCTGCAAAAGTGACAGCGATATGTCTTATTGTTTTTTTGCTTGGTGACTGTTAGGATTCATTATGGGAAGCTTCTTTTCTTAAACAACAAGCTGTAAAATAATAAAAAATGTAAGTTCTTTTGAAACACATTAGTGCATTTTGATAGATGAGAGGCTCAGCTAGATGGTGCTAGCTAACTGAATGGTGCATATTTACTGTCCTAAGCCGGTGTATTTAAATTGAAAAAGCTTTAAAAGATCTTACCCCATCCGTGTGGCAGAGGCCCGAGAGGATCAAACTCCTTATTCTGAGTGGCTGAGACCTGCTCTTGTAGCTGCACAGCAGAGAGAAAGAATATTTTGTATAAATCTCAAAGCATCTTAAAGACATCTACAATATTTTGCGTTTTGATGCGGAAAATAAAGTGACTCCACATAAAGAAAAATAACATAAGGGGTTAAATATCAGTAACATTTTAAAGCCAGTTGGTTGTTTAACAAGCGGTAGTGTTTGTCATTAACCTAACGTCACAAACATAGACCTAACATCAGCATTAGCCGAATTTCCAGTAAAAACATCTCAATTTTGCAAACTCGTGGAGGTGACACATTTTTTTTTTTTATCACAGGACAACAAGTACGCTGCTCAAAGAAGAAGAAGGAGAAGTAGAAGGACATATGTGCATAAAAACATGTACAAATGTGTTATTATTGGAGGTTGCTAGAGGCTGCAGTGTTCAGGCGCTTTGTAACTGGTCAGATTGGAAGTTGAACCGTCAACCCTCCAGTTCCAAAGCCAAGATTCTACAGGCTGAGCCGGCGCTAGTCTAGCTAATAAAAACCTATATTACCACATTGTATCACAAGACAAAGAGGAAGTCCTCACCCCGAATATGAACCTCTGGTTGAACTGCTGCATGGCCCCCTGCAGCTGGCTGCGCTGGTGCTGCCACTGCTCATAGTTACGCACCGTCTCCATGGTGGGGCGCTGCCACGTGGTGGTCCGGGTCATGTGATCGACAAAGTAGACCCGCCCCATCTGGTCGACACGACGCTCCCAGCTGAGGACGGATACATCGAGGGAACACAGCAGGAGAAAAGTGAGCATGGGTAAAAACAGAAGACTCTCAAAATCAGTCTGCCCTATTGAAACTATTTCACCCATTGAAGAGGAAGAGAAAAAGAGCAAACGTGTTAAGAAAGACAATATGGTGGTATTGCAGACACCCTACCAGTATAATGGGGTGTATGGAAAAAGCGTGGATAAATAAATGCGTCAAGGCTTCAGATTAAAGTAAATAATCAATGTGGTACATGAACATGGCACAGGACCTAGCCACATGCTGCTCTCAGCAAATTACACTTAAGACAGCCCAGATAGAGATCAGAGTCAATATAGTCTTACACTGCACTAATATGTAGGATTTGATGACTTATCAGGACAAACAGCATTGACAAACTGCGTGTGAAATAAAAAATATATGGCAGTTAAAGTTACCCTGTAGCGATTTCTGACAAGGTCCCTAAACTCTGAAAACACTTACAATGACTAGTTTTTGAATATTATCAAATATACATTTATTCCATCTCTTCCGTCTTCCTCACACAATCGGTCCTGATTAAATGCTTTCTGTCTGCCAGCATCAATTAAGTCTGAATTGTGATGATGAGATGTGGCAAAAGAAAACATTGTTCGATGATTTCTGTGAGAAATCGTCCAAGCTGTAATGAATTGCGCTATATGTAATTTTCTAAGGGTCTCTCATTCAAAACAATAACGAAAGATGGAGTTTGGTGGCGTTTTGATGCAGCAAGAGATAATGAAAAGTCAGCTTCTCCAGGAGGTTTTTAATTGCAGCTGAATTATTCGCACGCCCCCTCCTCTCCAAATTAAACAAATTAAAAACAGGTTAAATGCTTCAAGCAGTTGCACATTAATAATTGCCGTTTTTTAGCTATGCTTTTTTCTCTGATCAATTATGATCCAGGTGTACGAAAAGTGTTGAATAAAAGTGAGGCTTAAAACGAGTATTTCTTAGAAATGTTAGAATGAAGATCTTAAAACTAGGCATGAGCCAGTGTTACGATTGAGAGACCCCTTAATTGAAAAGTTCCTTTCCTATGAAAAGAATCCAATAAACTTCAGACAAAAGAACAATCTGTCATTAAAAGAAAATGTAAAGGGAAGGACTTTTTACCCAGGGGGCAGTGGTTCAGGGCGTTCCCACGCCGTTCTCTTTTCCACGTGATCGACAAAATACACCCTGCCGTTCTGATCCACCCTCTGCTCCCACCTAGATTAAACATGGTAATAAGATGGAGGATATTAGGTGATGGTGCACAGCCCCGGCCGTTAAGGTGATGGATGGATGTAAACACATTCACAACATGAGTCAACCTAATACAAAAGCAGCAGCTAGCCGGTGAAGGTTATGATGTTGTCACAATGACGCACTAAAAGAGCTCTAAAGAGAATTTGCAGAATTGCAGGCTGAATGAAACCCAATAGAGACAACAAGAAAAAGATCTTAAACAAACAAACAAACTGGTAATCCGACAATCCTCACACTCTCTTTATCCACACAGGAAATATGAAATGCTCAATAAACTGTGCCTCAGTGCTGTTTTTTTTTTAGTTGAATAACTTTTTGTCTCAAAGCTGACCCAATTTGCAAAACACCCCTCTTACTGTAATCCTCCTCTGAGTGATTCATCAACTTTTTTTCTCATTTTGAACTTTGTATTACTTAAAGGGGACCTATCATGCAAAATGCACTTTTGTACGTCTTTTATACATGAATATGTGTCCCCGGTGTTCCAGGGAACTCACCAAGTGTCAGAAAACACAACCCTCTCTCTTTTCCTCCATACCCAAATCTCTTAAAAAGGGGCTGCAACGGATCTGATAAAAACTGATCCAGATTTGAACACTGTCCTGACGTCAGGACGGTGGCGCTACGGCTATTGGGCCAACTCCACCAATCAGGAGGAGACAGCCACGGCCATTGCCGTTCGAAAGCGCTGGAGACGCTGTAGTACATATGCCAGGCCTCTAGATGGTGCTGTTCTCACTGAATCTGCCCTTGCAAAAACAGAGCTAGAAATTGTCAAATTGAGGAAAATGAGGCATGGCTAAAATGCATGATCTGTTTGGTATTTTGAAAAAGAAAAAGTATAAATATGCCTTATATAGGTATGGTCCTACACTATATTATTCAAATATAGCATGATAGGTCCACTTTAAGTTTGTGTTTTTGTAGTTTTCATTTGCGTCATTGTCTCAATTCATTATACATATATATATATATAAAGTTGTCTGGCACTATAATACTACTATTGCACAATAAACTTGCATAGATTAATATCGTTTTAACTTGACTTTGACCCAAACCTTCCTAAATTCTTCTGCAAAGATTATTAAAGATGGCTCACCCTGGGGGCAGGGGCCCGGTGCTGACAGCGGGGACACTCGGAGTGACAGCAGGGGTGACGCTGCTGGCCGGCTGTCTGGGGGCCGCACCCCCGGAGCTGGAGGCCGCTGCCCCGGCACTGGAGGCCGCTGCCCCGGCGCTGGAGGCCGCTGCCCCGGCGCTGGAGGCCGCAGCCCCGGAGCTGGGGGCAGCAGCCCCGGAGCTGTAGGCAGCGGCCCCGTAGCTGGGGGCCGCTGTTGAGTTCCTCTCCGAGCCCGCCGATGGACTCGATCCAGGGGCCGGTGAGGGTCCTGGGGCAGGTGAGGGTCCTGAGGCAGGTGACGGTCCTGAGGCCGGTGAGGGTCCTGAGGCCGGTGAAGGTCCTGAAGCCGGGGTTCGAACCGGTGTGTCAGAACCCGACTGACCGTCACTGCCGTCAGCTGTTGCAGAGCCATTACTAGAAGATGCTGAGGAAAGAATCAGACATTGCAGAGAGTTAAATCATAAGACTATGATGGCTGATAGAGTGGTGCAGTGATGACGTATATATATGTTTGCCGACCCGGAAGTTAGCTTTTCAAGTTCTCCCTCGACAAAAGCCATTGGGATCTTTCCATTGGATTTAATAGGAAAATAAGATCTGTGGCAAGCACATGTTTATTATACTTACACGTTGTGTTCAGCAGGATAATCTCCACATATTACCATTAATGTAATGTCTTATACCATAAATACCACTTTTATAATTATTAAGGTGTAAATGCAATCGGGAGAAGTAAAAAGCTAATTTACCAAGTTATTGAATGTTAACCAGAAACGCATTAAAAAAAATATTGTTTTTGAGATAATAAAACCCGGAAGAGCTTAAATGCTAACTCATTTCCGGGTTTAAGACTTACTTATGTATCATTATTTTGCAGATAAACCGGAACGATAGAACAAAAACACAAATGTTCAGCAAAGCGGGCTGAGGATGTATTGTTCCCTTCACAGACACATTGCCACCATATTGTTTGTGCTATTCCTCAGTGTTGCCTTGTGTGACTCAGCTACATCAAATGTTTCCTCATGTTTGTGAGTCTTGGCCCAACTCCAATTTAGCTAGCGGGTAAATGTTTGACATCAATTATTATGTGACACACTACACAGTCAGGAAGAACAGCACTCGACCTTTGCTTTTCTCCCATTCTCAGTTGAAAAGTGTCTAGTTCCTCAGTAAATGTCTGACCTGGTGAAGAGGCGGGTCTGCGCGGGGTTGGAGGAGGAGGTCTGGAGGGCCGGGGGGGTCGTAGAGGCCTCGAGCCCCCTGAGGACACAGAGGGAGACCCCGCGCTGTGCACCGACCTCCGTCCGCTGGGAGAAGACCTGTGCTCGACGCCGTCCACGCTCACAGCAGGGGAGCTGTCTCGACTCCGCCTGGGAGCAGGAAGAGCACACGGAGATTAATACAAATATCAGAAACTCTAAATGGTGACACGTTAAGATCAACTGAAGACAGGAGAAGCTACTGCACCTTGTGACATGATCCCCGTTGGGTTGGGAATCCCCGTTTGATGTACCTGGAGTAAAAACACACAACATAAAACATTCACATTTTATTCATAAAGCCCATTATTACACATTTTGCCCAAGGGGTCTTTAAGCAGAAGTTCATGATAATACAACTAGACATTTTTTAGCTTGTATATTTTTTTTTATCATTTCTGGCTTTGCTATGCATATGGAATAGATTTTGGCAAGCATGTAGAAATAATAAAAACACTCCCATTCTCAGGGAATAAAATGTTTTAGAACCCATGGATTCCCCCTATTCTTTCTAAACAGAACAAAGACATTATTTGGCATTTCTAAAAGACATTATTTGGCATTTCTAAAAAACATTTAGAAATGGGCTCATTTCTTACTTTCCTGACATTTTTGACTAAATTACTTTTTCTCACAACAAATAAAGCTACATTTGAGAATATTCTAACAGGCTTTGGCTCTGTGACTCACTGTGATGGTCGGCCTCTGCCGTGGCGAACATCTCGGGGTCGACAGTCATTCCGTCCAGGCAGACGGAGAGGTCTCCCACCACATCGGACTGGTCTCTGTCTGCACACAGCTGTAAGGTCTGCACCACCTCAGAAACTACACAGAGACCACACAAACACAAGATGGTCCGAGTGAGACGATGGCAAGTGAAATATTACGCCTACTATAATGATGCAGGCATAACTTGAGAAAAGGTGCATTCTCCGACAGTAGGTAATGCCGTGTACAAATAGATTGTTAACATTAGGAATTAATGTATAGGTAAGTTACCCATGGGTTGACATCCTAGCAACTTGGGGACCACAACAAATACCAACTTTATTATATATGTTATTGTTATCAGTTGGGAGCAATTCAATTTTAAATTATAATAAATTAGAAAAATAAATTAGAAAAATCATGGTTAGCGATGCAATTTTAGTCCTTACTAAATGTTTGTACTACATTATGATACCAAAAATGTCAAATGACAAATTTTTTATTATAACAGTTATGGGAATAAGTGAATAAGAACCCAGAGCTCCGTCTTAAACACACCTGGACAGGGTCTAAGAATAAAACATAACCTAATATCTACCATTGCAAAAGGGATGACAAAAATCAGCTGCCTATTACAGGAATGTCAAGTGCCTTATTCATATACTTTTTACTCTAAAAAAGTCGGATAAACCACGTGTCGGCATTAAAACACTTTCTGTATTTAAGGGTTCACTCGTTACAAAAGAAGCCTCAACATCCTCAAATGTTTTCATTAAAATTGAAATGTACTTTCTACATTTTGTCATCTACCACATCAGATAGATCCCAGACAGGCCTTTGCCAAGACCTCTCGTGTTCATTCTTCATTTGTGAAATAAATGAAAGAGGAAGCGGGTAGCTGGTTGTAGCCTCATTCTCAGGAAAACAAAGGAAACACCCCTACACTCTGAGATAAACCAGAACACGCACTGTTTAGCATCAAAGTTGTTATGGGATTCTTAGATCAATGTGTGTCTGATTACACATTTCTAAAGATAACACAACATTAGGGATGTCATGGGAACCGATAGGTGCAAAAGGGTAAATTATAACACTTTCATGATCTGTTAACTGTAGCCTTATGAAATTAAATTTAGCTGAGAAACCAGAATAAATACACCTGTTGGAAAGACATGATTCCCACTCACTTTTCATTTCGTTAGACTTGAGCGTGTCACTGACGTTCAGTGTGGCCATGCCCAGCAACACGTCGGACTTCAGGGTCTGGTGGCTCCACACACGGAACACCAGTTTGCTGAACGGAGTCACAATCCTGTAGAAGTAAACGGTTCAGTTTATTCGAGCAATGCATCGATACTAACGGAGGACAGACGTCCACTGAGGATTTGATTTCAGAAAGCCCTGTAGGGGCTTACTATCAGGACTTCACCGACAATCAGTTTCAAGCTGAGAGGCCTTTCACTGAGCAGCACTATTTCTCTCTTTTTGGCGAGATACTGCTAGTCCCTTAACAACAGCTTACAAAATTAGATTCATCTCACAGCTTTCACCACCATCCCATTTTAGAGGCATTTACTTTAAAGGGGCCCTATTATGCTTTTAGGGTTTTTCCTTTCCTGTAGTGTGTTGTATAGATTTTGTGTAGTAAATAGTCTGCAGAGACTAAAATCCCACAGTTCCGTCCAGAAGGAGTTTCTCTCCCACACACTCCCTCCCCTGCCTGAAACGCATTGATTGGATTTTTACTTCCGTAACAAAATAAAATCACTATGTAACAACATGATAGGCTAAGGGGCAGGACATCTCAGGCGGTAACCCAATCAAAACAGAGCTGGCCAGCTAACCAATCAGAGCAGACTGGGCTCTGGTTTCAGACAAAGGGTGAGAAGAGGTGCTACAGAACAGGCAGTATGAGAAAAATAAAGACCGTTTTGAACATTAAAGCATGCAAACGCCTCACAGTAGAGGCACAAAATACAAATATTCACCTGAAATAAGCATAAAAGGGCCGCTTTAATGTAAATAACTTATTTCTTTCCTCATAACTTAGCCAGACTTACCACTTTCATTACTATCTATATTCTAAAAGGTAATCACAGAGGAGTTAGTTCATGTATCATTTATAGCCTGGTCGGGTCAGGTCTGATTACATCCCATAGTAAACACTTGTTACACAATAAGTAGGTCACCTTGGAGCACTCTATATTGGGAAGGTCAGAAGATCCTTGAAAGGCTAAAATTAAGAGGACATGATGTGTGACTATGTAGGACTGTATGAAGTCTTGTGTTGTGTGTGTGTGTACAGTATCAATTAGGAACAGGATTCCTGTAGATCAACCGGACACACTCTCACCACTGTGAGGCATTTTACATTTAAGTGCAAACCACTTACAGATAGCATATCTATCTTTTAAACTGTACACACTATTATCCTGAACTCGACATTTTAACTGCAGAGAAAAAAATCCTTCCTGAATTCCTGGTGACTCACTGGAAAAGAAAACTGCTGCAGGCCCAGCATCTCGATCGAAATCATATGTTACACAGGCAATTTCATACAATAATAAGGGAGTCTGCGTTTGTATGCTTTGGAGAAACTCTTCAAGGTCTGGGCAGATTTTCTGAGGAAGTGATGATGAGCAATGCCAAAATAGTTCAGTCAGCAGTCATTTATCAAGATATAGTTCTTCAGAAAGGCTAAATGGGAAACAATGGTTTCGCAATCCCTTCTTTTAAACAATCCCTTCCTTTAAACTCTGATGAAAATGTGCAAGTTTTGTGAACAGACACCACCGTTTATGACACAAACAACATCAACAGACTTTTACATTCCCTTTGACTTCTACCTCACCTTTTCTCTGTTTCAGTTAAGATTCTAAACTTTATTAGGCAAAAATACTCTTTCTATATATTCTCCATTACTGATAAAACTCCAACTACTTCTGTTTCAGCGGGGTGTGGGAGAGAAACTCCCTCTGGAAGGAACTATGTGATTTTAGCCTTTGCAGACCCTTAACATGCACAAACCAATAAAACAAACTACAGGAAAGGGAAAACCCCAAAAAGAGGGATAGGGTCTCTTTAACTTCAATGTGTGCACACACAAATATATGCTGGAGTAAAACCTAAAAAAACAAGCATTTGTAAAAAACTGATTTAGGGTTTTTAGCTATCGGGAACACCCAGACTGGTAACATTTAACATGTTAGGGTGAATAATAATAAGGGTAAGATGTTTATCAAAGCTGAGGAAATTGCCCTGCAAGATGTTTTCTGTGAACAATCGAACATTATAATTCCCTATCCCAAACCAAGCATGCAGTCAGCAGAGCAGAGCGAGCATTTGCATTTTAAAATACAGTTTGACACGAGTCTGGTCTTATACGAGTTAGCAACAGAATACCAAAGTTCATATTATCATGAGTGCTGGTGCTTGGACTCACACAGTGAGCGGCTGCTTCCATTTGGGGCTGTGGGTGTTGTTGCATTTCTCAGTTTTCTTGGACTGGCCGTCGACTGTCACTTCCACATAGGGACTGGGGCCGAACCAGTTTTTCTTGTTCTCTTTTAGCTTTGCAGATAGCACTGAAAAAGGCAGAAGGAAGAGTGCAGCGGAAAGTTAGTCATGGTGGTGAAGAAAAACATTTTAATACTGAAAAAGCAGAACAAGGGAAAATAAAATCTGGATTTTACCAGTGAGCAGTATACTTAGCTGGTGAGGCAGGAGCTTAGGCAATGTAGTAACGAACAAACCACAGACCATTTTGCGTTAATCACTAAAATAATCTTTGATTAATCAGAAGATCAAAACACTAGTATTTACCTGTATTTTGGGGTGAGATAAAACAAATACACGGGGTGTGGGGGTTTTTTTGCGACACAAAATATCAACAAAGCCGCTGTCACAGAGAGCCGCTGTGATTCCCCTCTGTATATTGTGCACTACACACACACATGCTCGTATGGTAGTATTGTTGCTGCCACTGTCATATTGTGAGCACTTTCTGTTTCTTTCTACAATAATGACTGTGACCGCAATTTCCCAATCCTTTGCAATTTCAAGATAAGGGCTAACGCATGATTTGGCAAAATGTCTCTCGTCCGTTTTCACCAGACCCAAAGCAAACGAGTGCCGTTACACCCTGGTTCTCACTGATGTCCAGTGTTCTCCAGTCAGTGCAATACATGTAGCTTTTGCTAAATCTTTGCATTTTCACTGCCATGCAATACATGGTAAAAATCCTCACTGGAATTACGGGAGGAAGTCAGCGTCAAACCTAATGTGATAAATGTGCGTAGATTTTCTTTTGGACACATTGAGGTCTTCAGATAAATTGCAACCGTAAATGTGTAAACGATAACACGTTCATGTTGACAGTGCTAATTTAAAAGAAATAGAGCTAAGAAGACAGGCCTTGTGTTATTTCTCACAACAGGCCTTTAACAGACATGTTGACATTTCATGGTAGGACAAGCACAAGTGTTACTAAAGATGGCTCAGTCACATTAAGGCCCTGACACACCAAGCCAATTATAGAATGTTGATCAAGTTGGAGGATTCGATGATGGCAATGTTTTTGCAGTGTGTCCATTACATTACATTTTATTTTAGGTGACACTTTTATTTAGTGTGACTCACAAAGACTTCTTCAAAGATCACACTGTTAGACACGCCTACGGGAACAATTTGGGATTGAGTATCTTGCTTTAGGACAGATACGTGTTGCGTGCATGGGAGGGGGGGGTCAAACCATCAATGCTCTAATGGCGCATTTCCACTACACGGCCTCGCTCGGTATGGCTAGGCCTTGTTAGGCCTTGTTAGGACCGGCTCACTTTATGGCACATTTCCATTACAGTTTAGGAACTGGGGCAGTAACTATAGTAATGCAGTGTAGGCGGAGCCGTGACGTCATCTTCAATGCGAAACACAAAACCAACATCAGCCGTTAGCTGTTAGCCCTCAGAGCTCACAGCTCACAGCTCCTCATATCTGTTCAGAAACTAGACAAAAGTTAAACAAGTACAAACCACAGACTGTCTGTGTCATGGCGAATACAGTCGCTGGTTTATTTATGTCTGTAGGCCGTTGTTGTGAGTGTGGATGGTCGGAGCATACACTGCGTTAGCTTAGCCGATCTCCATTTAGACAACACACATTTTAAAAGGTTTTTCGCCTGCCGTCTGTCTGCAGACTTGTCAAAGCATTAATTCATGGTTTTTACTAACCGGTATCAGTATGTTGTTACTTCGGCATCATTTTGAAACGTGTATTACAATTAAATCACGGTAAAATATGTTCATCTTGTTGTAGTTGTAGCCCCCTTGCCAGCGATTCTCTCTCTAGTTTAGCATACTCAGCCCGACTCAGCCTAGTTGTTGGCCCGGAAAGAACCTCGATTTTATGGGGCCAGAAAACTGTGAAATAGTACCCGCTAGCCGGTACTACACTAATGGCGCGTTTCCACTACAGCGCGGAGCACGGTTTAAGAGGGCTGTGACGTCAGCGGCCCGTCTTTGGTTGCGTTTCCACTTGGCCTAGTACCGGCCGGCGGGTCCTAATTCACAGTTTTTCTGGCCTCATAAAATCGTGGGTCTAGGGCCAGAGACAACGAGGCTGAGTCGGGCTGAGTATGCTAAACTAGAGAGAGCATCGCTGGCAAGGGGGCTACAACTACAACAAGATGGACATATTTGACCGTGATTTAATTGTAATACACGTTTCAAAATTATGCCGAAGTAACAACATACTGATACCGGTTAGTAAAAACCATGAATTAATGCTTTGACAAGTCTGCAGACAGACGGCAGGCGAAAAACCTTTTAAAATGCGTGTTTTTCTAGATGGAGATTGGCTAAGCTAACACAGTATATGCTCCGACCGTCCACACTCACAACAACGGCCTATACAGACATAAATAAAGCAGCGACTGTATTCGCCATGACACAGACAGTCTGTGGTTTGTACTTGTTTAACTTTTGTCTAGTTTCTGAACAGATATGAGGAGCTGTGAGCTCTGAGTGCTAACAGCTAACGGCTGTGTTGTTTTTCTGGGGATCTCTGAAGATCACGTCACGGCTCCGCCGACACTGCGTTACTATAGATACTACCCCAGTTCCTAAACTGTAATGGAAATGCGCCATAAAGTGAGCCAGTCCTAACGAGGCCTAGCCATACCGAGCGGAGCCGAGCGAGGCCGTGTAGTGGAAACGCAACCAAAAACGGGCCCCGCACGGCTCGGCACGCTTAAAGCGAGCTCCGCGCTGTAGTGGAAATGCGCCATAATTGGTGGCCAAACATTTACTCTGTAAGCTATAGCAGGCTGACACGGCAAAATGCATCACTCTAATTGGCTGTTCAGCTCAAGTGAAATGCACACAGGAGGAGAAACAAAAGCAGGGACTACAAAGACTGAAGTCAAAAGGGCAAACACAGAGTCTCTTTCCATTGTCCATCTTCATCTCATCTGATCATTCTAATAAAATGATATTTTCACAATACCATTGACGTCTAGAATGAAAGTAAATGGTGGCTGCTTTGGTTCAAGGTTTGTATCAAAACATCGGCTTGTATTTCTGCAGAACGGATTCCAGTTTCTATTGATGTTAGTTTGGTGTGTCAGGGCCTTTGCATGTCCCTGTAAGCTGTGACAGTGAGCCAGCATGCACTAAAGCAGGACCCTGAAACTGAAGCAGCTAAAAGGAATACAGCCAGCATTTATTGTAGTAGTAGCACCTGCTGTGCTTTTCTTTTTTTATTGAGGGCTTTTATTATCTTTTGACAGAAAAGGTCAAATAGGAATGGGAAAATGGGAAAGGTACGTGCACCATTTAGAAAATGTGTTGATTTTGACAAAGACTTACCAACGATTTGTAGCTGTGCCTTCATAGGGTGACCGTTGGAAGGGCCCGGCTTGGTGACTCCACTTGCCATGACATAGGGGCTGGGCTGAAGGCCTGCAGCACAGAAAACACATCATTAGAGTGGAGACATATCACTTTCACACTGCTGCCACACATGACGTCATTAAACTAAAGCCCATAATATGCAAGACTTGCAACGATGACACTTCTAAGTTTCAACAAGTTAATAAAGACATCCCAACAGTATTAATGTAAGACTTTCTGTTTCACCAACTACACAAGCTTACTCCTGCTTATAGAAATATGTATACATAACATTGCTTTAATTCAACATAATATCGGAACAATTTGGGAACACTTTTGGAAATGTATGGACTGGACTTGATTGTTTTTGTATGTATGTATTGTTTGCGTTTTCCCTTTCCTTTAGTTTTGTTATTGTAAAACTTCTAAAACTGTTTGCTTGTACTAAACAACATACGGAGAATATGTACATCGAAACAGATTTGTATTAGCTGTTGTGTTATTGGCACATTGTTAATATAAACTTATTTGAGTGGTGTGTGTAGTGTTTGGGTGGGGGAGGGGGTTATGTTTAATTTGAAATAGGGCAATAGTTTTTTTCTGTATGATTTATGGGTGGAAAAAATTATAAAACATATATATGAGTGACTCATTATGATAACCATCCAGTTTTCAACTAAGTATTAAAACCAAGTGTGGTTCAAAATGAATTAACATTATTACACTGCTTAGATGAATACTAGATTCTGATTGGTCATTTTGGACATTTCAGAGGTTGTTAATATTTGCTAACAGACCACTGCTAAGCATAACATGACCGTTGCTTAGGAGGATTGAGGAACTATGTGCAGTCACATCAGAAATAAGACTAATTGATTTAACATCAGCTGTGGACAATAATCATTAGTTCTCTCCATCAGAAAACATTATGGAATACTTTTTGAACATTCACTTTTATGTTTGTGGAGAGCACGGAACATTGGATTCATGATGGCTAAACTGTCCCCAGTAAAGAATAGAAAAACAGCGCCAGAGAAGGAAAGAGGATAAAAGACAGAGCACTGGACGTCAAAGGAATCCGCAGAAGAAGACAGACAGACAGGAAGTAACAGTTAAAAACCTGTAAATAAAAATTAAATGTGAACAGACTTGGACAGTTACAGAAAACCTTGATCAGTGCTGCCGTTGTTTGGAGTTAAGTTGCTGTTGCCGAGGTTGACACCATTGGTGCGCATGGGAACGGACTATGTTTTTCTTAGAGGATGCAATACAATCATTTTAAAATCAATTAAATTATTTTTTATCAATATTGTGAGTCAAGTCGTTTATTTAGTCGTGGCCTTGTAATAAGCAGGATAATTTCATGCACATTATCCCTTACTTAACAAACACCCGAAAAGCAAGTTATGATGTATACAACTATAAATTGTTGCTAACATGAGAAACACAATTATGTTCTTCCTGTTGCCTCGAAATGACCTCATGTGCACATCCAAATCAGTACGTGCCCGTGTTTTGCCTGTAGCCATATCATTTCCGTCTGCTGCTGCTCAGAGTAGGAACCAGCCATAAAATATAATCAAGCATATCTCCCCGAGCCACAATCATTTTTAATTTACCCTGTTTACTGTATCTTTCTGACATGTAACTCTCCTCTTTCTACTTCCCCTGGGACCAAAGTGTCCTCCAAATGCATTTAGTGACATCACAGATGTGAACATTGCACCATCATTGAAGGTAATAAAAAGATACTAAAAGGAAGACAAAGGTCAGGCCTGCAGTCTGTGAAATACTGCCTGTATAAAACTTTCTGCAGTGCAGCTTCCACTTTGAAGAATACAGCTTGTGCCTAGGCTGCTGCTCTGTGCCTGAGAGCCAAATACACCTGACTGCAAATAGAGCCACAACAGTATCTACACATCCTTAAACAACCACATGTATAAGGGTTATACTGTACCTACAAGCGGCTCTGAAAAATACATGTATCCATCATTATCTAGGTATATGAGGTTACAACGGGGCTGGAGCAGATACAGTTTTCCCTCAAAAACCATATCTTCTACTCCTACTCTTCCTACATTTCCCTGCCTCTTAGCAACACCCTATAAACAAGACCACCAATTAGTTGATATGATGTCCTAACCGAATAAATAGCACTAGAGATGCAACATTAGTTGACGAATAAATTAGTCAAACAGAACAATGATTGCAAACTATTTTGTTAATTTATCAATTCGGAAAAAATAACTAGTTGCCATTACTGATATTGGTATTGAGATTTGATTAAAAATATTGGCAGGTTTAACATTTTTGCATCGTGATTGTCATTCTCATTGAAAAATATATGAAATTATTATGATTGGATTTTTTTAGGATGATCTGTACCAAACCAATCTGTTTGGTTAAGTTGAATATGACGTGAAGGTTGTGATATCTAGGCAGCTCCACAATACTTTAAACACATATTTAATAGATATTCAGCCTTTAAAAGGGGCCCTATTATGATCAATCACAACAGAGCTGGCCAGCTAACCAATCAGAGCAGAATGGGCTCTGTTTCAGACATTACATGTTACTTGTTAGACGCTTTTATCCAAAGCGACTTACATACTCAATACTGTGGACAACTCCCACAGGAGCAATTTGTGTCTTGCCCAGGGACACAACGACATGGTGACTGCAGTGGGGTTTGAACCTGTGACCCCCTGATCCCAACACCAAGGCTCTATCCACTGCGCCACACGCCTCCAGACAGAGGGTGAAAAGAGGTGCGCATGCAGTATGACAAAAATAAATAACTTTTTGAACATTAAAGCATCTAAACATGTCACAGTAGAGGCACAAAATACAAATATGAACCTGAAAATTAACATAATAGGGCCCCTTTAAAAATACTGTACTTCCTGACATTTTAATATTGTGAGTTAGAAAGCATCTAGATTAATTGTGAAGCCCTCAAAGTCATTTTTGATGAGATTTTAAGACTTCAACTTGGACTCTGGAGTCAGGGATGGACATTTTCTTATTGTTTTGTGACATTTTAAATACCAAATGATGTATCTAGAAGATTATATAACAGGTTAAATGGTCATTAAAAGAGTGTTAAGGTGCAGCCTTACTAAACACATAGAAACACTTGCATCTGTAGATGTTGTCTTATGCTTACCCTGAACGTATAATTCAACTGAAAAACCAATACAAAAATAAATGATACATTTAAATAAATATCAAAATAATAAATACCAATAAACAAGATCAACAAATATTTTGGAGCGCACTTCCACAAGCTACTAAACATATATAAATATGATAAATACAAATAAATGAGACCAAAATTAATTAGATCAAATATGTTGCAGTGCACTGTCACAACCTAGCAAAGCTAAATAATTGTTTTTTTCGATTATGTTGTTTTCATAATTGTGGCAGGCCAAAATCGTAATTGCGATTAAAATATGATTAATTGCACAGCCCTATCCTGAGCACACACAAACTCACATCCGAAGTAAAAACAATAAGTGTGGCTTGATATTGAGTAAGAAAAAGGTTGATAAACGCTGCGAGAATGGGTCTGCAGAGAGAATTTTGCCGCGATCCCAACTGTCTGTTATCAGCCTGCAGCCAGGGAGGAGAAATCAGCTGAGCTGCCTGCTCCCTGCACACAGATGTGTGTGTGAGGAAGTCCGTGGATTGGTCAATTTGGACCAATCAGCGGGGGCTTAAGGTAACGGCTCCGCGGACATAACGTAACGGCTCCACGGATTGGTCCATTTCGTTCCGGGTACGGCTTGACATCATGCCGTCCCGGAAGAATCAAATGGACAATGACGTATCTCCAACGAGGCGTTTTGGGGAGGTATTTTCTGTGTTAGAGTTTTACTCGCTATAGGGTGTACTTTGAGGGTTTTGACTCTGCACACCGTTTACATGCATAAAAACCTTCATAACACACAAGGGGACGGGTAATAACCGGAAAAGCATGACACCTCTCCTTTAAAGGATCACTGGCAGGAATATCCTGTGATCTTTCCTCGAACCTGGTTCTGTGCGTCACTGAATAATGCATTATCCTCTGTCTAACTTTTTCCAGTATGCACATGGCAGGGCAGAAAGAAGTGAGGAGCTCCTGGGTAAACTTTCACTTTGGCTACTGCTTTAGTTTCTGTCAATAATTCATAGCAACCGCTGACTTTGCAGCCTCGCCATCAGGCTGTCTGCAGTTTTTAGATGAGAGTATTCTCTGAATATTAAACTCCTCATTGTCCTGCTTTGACTTTGACTTTTTTTAACCAGCTTAATAACATCCATCCACAGGCCAGTCAATTTTAATTGTTGGTTCTATGAGGCATGTTAAATTGAATTTGAGCTTACATTTCCCCATTTTCTAGGCTGCGTATCGTCTTCTTTAACTGGTTAACTCATTAACTGTTAACACCATGACTCAAAGACGAAACGATAGTGCAGGGTGCCAAAACATACAGTCATGGAGACTACATTTATCATAACAAAGAGACAAACCGGTTCTTCTATTGTGATGCTTAAAGGAAACAGCATACAAGAGTCTGTTCTGATGTGAATCACTGTTCATACGGTCATTCCTGGTTTCATCTTTTTGTTTTGAAGTACACAACAATAGCATCTCCTGTATGTCTTGAATGACTGAACACTTGATAAAATCCTGAACTAGTTCTCAAACATGACTTATGTCATTCAGGTTAGGAGATGTTATATTGATGGATTATTAATAGCCAAAACATTTCAGGAGGGACACCCAGGAAACAGAAACCAGCCTCCCTTCATGACTAAACATTTGCCTGTAAATAACAACCGTAATTGAAGAGGACCTAACAACTCTCCAAGTTGCTGACGCATAATAACTGTGACAATAAAACATCTGTCTCTTCCCTTATTTGCTTATCGGTTGCTCCTATATTAATACATGTATCCAAGGAGATAAAACTCTGCAGGGAGAATTGGTTGTGGTGGGGGACGCTGTTTAGGAAATAGTTGTATCAGCTGAACAGCCATTTGTTAGAGATTCAACAATTGTGCTTACATCAGCTAAATATGTATTGCATGCTTGAAGACGTTAAACATAAATGATTATGAAGAAATGGGTTGTTTGGTTTCATTAAAAAAAGACAACATTTGAACTTAAATAACTTTGATAGATTTGAGCAAAATTGTTTAAATTGTTGAACAAATTGTGGAGCTTCTTTCCAAGGCTAGGAAGACATACAGTATCTGTATGCTTTATAATAGTTTTGTCTAAAGTGATATACCACTGGCCACTTTGTGTATTGTATATGTATGATTCTGTTGCATGTCATTTATAATAAAATAGAACATACATGAGGGTGGAAACTGTAATGTAGTTTCAGTTAGCTTAGCAGCTTGACATGGATGTCATATATATATATATATATATATATATATATATATATATATATATATATATATATATGTCGTATTGAGGAGTGGCCCCTAAAAGTATTTTGTGTACTACAAAGAATATACTTTTACCGAAGAGCGCGACAAAGCCAAACTAGCAAATGTCCGTTTAAATTGGATTAGTCGTGCTGTTTTGCTACATATACGAACAAGTAGCTAGGGAAAAACAACTGCCACACCGTTAAGTCCATCTTACCAGTAGCTAGCAGGTGCGCTAATTATTGACAGCGTTTTATAATCATTATACCTCATACGCACATTTCCTTTTTGGCAGGCTACACTTATTTACGCTTGGTAAAGGTTACATAATTTAATCCAAATAGGATTGGATAAGGAGCTAACGCAACTCAGTTAGCCGTACAGAGACGAACAGTATGTACAGGTTAGCTAACAGACTGCATTTAGGTTCAACAGTGTGTGTATTTGCTGTGGCAGTGTGCTGTCAAGAGTTGCTGGGTACATGTTGAATGTCAGCTGGTCACCAGCTCTGACAGCCTGCTGCCATCACAGCCGGGCTAGCTGCTAGCTACTAGCTCGTGTCATCATAATGGCTGGCTGGAAATCCCAAAGTTCACCGGCTATGGTAAAGAAATAGCAACGCTGATAGATAATTCGTAGTAACTTACCCTATTTTAAAGTATATAAACCCAAACTGGTAACGCTGCAGTGAACTCCTAGCCCTCGGTGTTTAGGATTCAGTCGGAGCTTCACTTCAAGGAAGAAGAAACTTCCACCATCTTCGTAAGCTCGCGTCACGTGATCGAAACAAGGTGGGGCGCATGGTTCTCCCCCTCTGGCATGTGATTGGACCAGAGTTGGAGCAGGATAGACCAATGAAGGGCCCGTAAACATGCTGATGCATTTAGGTCCTTGTTGCGACTTCATGAAATACTGTAGCTTTGAAAAACTGAATGGCTTGGCATCAAACAGTTTCATTGAAGTGTTTTTCGTTGTATTGTTCAGTGAAAAGGAAATAATAGACAGTATTAAATTGAATATTTGTTGTCTGAAGCAGGCTTAAACATAAATAAAAGGACATCAGTTGTTATTTATACATATAATTAAATATTGCTGATCAAAATGTCACACATCTTAAATAATAATTTAGAAATACATGTTTTTGCATTGCCTGACTTCTATAATTGTCCACTCCATTTTAAGACCTATTGGAGTTACATAAACGAATTATTGCAACTGCAGAAACATCTTTGTGTCCTGCTGCTGTGATGTATTATTGTTTATATCTAGCTGGGATAGACACACAGGCCATGGTCCTCTAAAGTTCAACAAGACATTCTTGCCAACCTAGGTAAGAAAAGCAAAGAATAACAAATATGGGCCTATTTCTTGTCGAGATACATCTTTGTGACCTGATACAGCAGCAACTTTATGTTAAAACATTTCCCAGCAGCACGTAAAGGCATCATTAATTAAAAATAAAACAGTAGTATCATTTAGGAATATCAGACTCGTTTTATACTAACTTTTACCTAATGTTAAAGGAATGACTTATTATTTTCTCTTGCTTCTAAATGTTGATTTTTGCTGTATTTGTAGACACTGCAGTAAAACTGTCACCGACTGAAAACAGCAGAGGGCATTGTTGTACTCTTCAGACAAATTACTATGTTGCAGACACAGACCATAATTTAATTTAATTTAATCAATATTGGATCTTTAATAAGGACATTGAAAGCTTTCTAAATAATTGAATGATAAAGCATTTTCCCTGTTTTGGTTTTTTGTAACCAATATAAAATTATATGAAATTACAATGGATTGAAAACATCAGTCTTTTACTGAAATTGCACTTGGGAAGAAACTTTTTTTATTTATTTACAATTATTATTTATGTTTTTACTTAATGGTTATTTGTGTGTGGGACAAAGTAATTATCTTGACTATATGTTCTGTAGGGGAGGTGAATTAAATATTTTCAGCACATAATATCTGTGTAATCTTTTCATATGTTGTCTGTACTGGCCGGTTTTTTAAAACAACCACTTACCCAACGTAACAAGATATTAATCAGCAGCCTTTCAATTATTATAATCAAAGCCTTTTTGCAATGTGAGACCCACAGAGAGAATCTGAGTGATACCGGAAGTTGTACTTTACCGTCAAAATAAAAGGCTAGAAATGTGTCACTGGGGAAAGATGTAAAATTAAATATAGTATCTTTAGAAAGCATTGTCAACTGATTTCTCTATTTCATAATTTCCTTTTTTATTATTCTACCAATTGTGTTCTTTCTTTCCCTCAACAGTTGATCGTGAATCCAATTCATGCTGATATCAGTGTGTTCATACTGAGGTAGAACCATAGGGTAGAACATATCTTATTAAGCTTTTAACTCTTAACCATGCTCCTAAATATAAATAAAAAAAGTGATATTTATGAAATGTATTTGTAAACTAGTGCATACACTTTATCTTTGTTCACGGTAGAAAATACTGTATTTTTCACAAAGCAATTTTGGGCAGTTTAGTTTTGCCACCTTGATTGTGTTTTTTGTGGCTGTTAGTTTGCCACAACACTTCTTTGCTTCTATTTGTCTTTCCCGGTAAATGTTTTATTTTGAAAGAGCGAACAGGAACTACGCATGCTGCTGCTCACAGCTTGACGCCTGCAGCTCAGTGGTCGGGGTTGGTCAGTATTGTCAGAAGGGCAGCATGAGACCCCTCTCTGCACGGATCATGCAAACATGGGAATATTTGGAAAAGACAGTTTGACAGCTCTCTCACACAACAGGTAGGCATCAAGTCTCTGTTTTCCACTCAGAAGCCACACACTTGGAGAAGCAGGCGTCACTTATTGCACTGGTTTTATTTGGCGTCACTTGAATGTGGTCGCGTGAAATGTGTCCATACAAGTCAGGATGTGATGTTTTACCCTCGTGAAAAAGAACTACGGCTATTGCATAAATCAATATACAATGAAACTAATAGAACATTATCACTTAACTTTTATATCCAAAGAAACTGACTTTTGTTTGGGTATAAACTGTAAGTACAAAGTGCAATTACTCTATAAATTCATAATTGAGTTCTGATAGGAATATTGTGGTATTTATTTAACAATTTGCATTAAAAAAAGCCATTGACTGACAAAGAGGCAGTAAATGTTCTTATAGTATACTGTTAAATAGCCGTTGAATGACATAGAGACAGTAAAGGTCCTTATAGTAATCTGTGTTTTCTGCACAGGGTCGTAAAGTGTATCATTGAGGATGAATGCAGGTTGAGGGAAGGTCACACCCTGAGTTGGCTCGTTGCCTGCTTCTACAGTTGCAATTCTAAGTACCATATGAATAGAAATAGAATAGAGTTGAATAGAGAGTCACTGTGATTATCTCCACAAATATGAAACACAACAGATGGCCCATGAGTCCTTGGTCAATATAACCATATACAGTGGGTGAAAAAACAGAGGTAAAAGTGAATTGCATGACAGTAAAGATGGGCATTATTGCAGTGATTCAGTCATTAACTGGAAGCCGGAGTTTTTCCTGTCATTAGCAGAGCGCTGAGACCCAATTAAGATAGACAGCAGATGTCATTGTCTGAGCTTCACAAAAAGGGGCCACTTGTGAAAATGTATGAGTCGTGACCAGTGGCGTCGCCTGGCCTGGGCATCCGGGGCTTTAGCCCCGAATGTTTTTTCTGTAGCCCCGGACAATTCTCCCTCAATAATATAATACATTAACTGTGCTTTACGTGAACCTCATCATGACACAAGAGAGGACGGCAGCACTGTAATTTCCCGTGTTCAGTGAATGCAACAGAGGCATGACACCAGACCAATCAGAGAGTTGCATGGAAATAAACGTGTGCTTGTGTCATTCAAGCTCGGCTCTGTGGGTGTTTCTCAATCGCGAGTAAAGCTGCTCCAGAGCCACTATTTCAAGCATACTACGTCATCGAGTGCCGCCGAAGTACTGTTCCAATCTCCAGCATACTTGGAAATCTACCGAGCCCGGCGTACTCCGTTTGGAGAAATATCGAGGCTGCACATGAGTAGACTCCGCGGTCTTAAAATCCCCACAATGCTTTCCGCACGGACCAATTTCCAAAATCTGTGGCGGAAAATGTAAGGCGGGGCCTATCATATGACGCACACCTGCACACTTGCTAGCCTGTTCCACTCTTCGTTTTCCGAATGCCAGGAAGTATTCTTGACTCGCTTCTGAAGCAAGATGCTCAGCAGACATGTGCTACCAAGCAAGCGTACTCGCGATTGAGAAACACCCAGAGTGTGTGTGGCAATAGCGCATTTAGTGTGATAGAGAGAGAGAGAGGGAGAGAGGGGGAGGGAGGGACCGGTGCCCGGTGCCAGCAGGGACGTGTTGTTAGCATCTGGTTAGCTAGCTGCGCTAACGGACATAAGGAGCTGTTTGTTCCACAATAAGCTGGAGGAGAGTCCTCTCCTCTCAGACTGAGAGACTCAGGTGAGCTAAAGGACTCTCTGAGTGTTTAGATACTTAACTTTAGTCTAAGTTATCTCAGTGGGTCTCAAACGGTTTGGTCACAAATTATTCAAAAGATTATTTCCGCGGCACACCTTCATATGATCATTATAGTTATAAAGAAAATAAGAGAATAAAGGAAAAACAGTTATGAAATACTATATGGCAGTAAAACAAGAATAGAGTTTAAAAGGGGAGTGATTAGTAAAATATCCATAAAGAAAAAGTACATCTGTTTACAGTTCTGCTTCATATGGGTGGTGAGAGAGGTATCCAAAGATCTCTTCATTTTGCTCTCAAAGTGCACCAGATTGATGCTTTTAACTTCAATATTTAAAAAAAAATCTTCCCGGGGGAGCATCCCCCCGGACCCCCCTAGAGGAGGTGAGGTCCGCCCCCCACTCATAAAAAATACCACTTTACCGCTGCCTATATGCCGTGAGCTGATTATCGAGCCTTCATTGTAACAGTCGCGGGTGTACTGTGTGTGTGTGCGCGTGTGGGGAGTGTTGCAGTAAAAAATGCCACTGTAGTGCCGCTGCCACTGTGGGCTAAGCCCCGAATGTTTTCAGGTCCAGGCGACGCCCCTGGTCGTGACAGAGTCAAATTGAGAATCAAGAGAGAATCATGTACAAATTCTGACTTTCGTCTCAGAGATTAAATAATTATGAGGGTTAAATTCATTTGTGGGAATTAAATCTGAGAGAAAATTCAGAAATTTGAGATAAAATCCCCCAAAATTCAGGTTAAAATCTAAATCATAAGGGTAAAGCCTTTATATCGAGAACAGAGTCAGACCTGAAATACGTTTTTTAAAGACATTTAAAATAACTTTTGACATTTATCTCAGGATTTACTTTATTTTTCTCAGATGTCTGATTCAAATGTGGCCCTAGTCGTCCTCTGTAGAGCTTTTGTGTATCCTGAGGCGCAGTACATACTAATAAATAAAACCTTAATATTAATGATTCAGGGCTTCAGATTTCATTGAATCCATTCCAATTTGATAAACAATCAAAAAGACTCTTAAACACGTCTAATTTACGAACCAACTACTAAACTGAATTGTGTAAATTAAACACTGGATGCTGGTTACTAAATATATGTTCTATTTAACACGAAGTCTGCTTTAACAACAAAAAGTGAAACAACATGGCAGCTTAAAAACATACAGCTACTATGAACCTGCTTCCTGCAGGTGGGATACGTTGACAAGTGCTTTGTTTCATTCTCTCCAAATTTGCATTTCTCCGGGCTGATTTTCATTCCGTTTACATTTACATTAGCATTCACCATTAAGCCCCACAGCCGCATGGGAGTAAGCAGAAGTCATTTAATGTTGCCTGCTGTTCCTGACACCTGTATACTGCAATCGCTTTAATAGAGTCATTTCATTTAATTTCATTTAATCGTTTATTTGAACCAGGACAGTGCACATCGATGAACACTTTAAAACAAAAATAATGCTTACAAGTGTAAATAAGCCGGATTTTAGCTTTGAGCTAATTTCCATCCGTAGTCCCGTCACATACAACATATAAGAACATGACATTTATATACATAGCAAAAATAAATACATGATATGCAGGAAGAGCATGAGCAGCAGCATACAAGCATTTACCACAAGGCAGTACAATGTAGCAGCTACGATATATAAAGTGCAAGATAAGATAAAAGTGCTACATAAAGTGCAAGAGGAGATACCCCTGTATAAAAGTGCATTTAGCGGTGATTGCACGTCTGTTTGTTGCTCAACCATTCTTTGAGTTGACCTTTAAAACTATTGAGAGTGAAACAATCCCGTATCTCAGTTGGGAGGCTATTCCACAATGAACTGCCTACGGAGAGGACATTTTGTCCAAAAGTTGTCCGTCTATGGTGGACTTCACAGTCTCCTCTGGTTTCTGACCTAGTGCAGCGTCCAGTGTGTTTTTTGTGGATGAATTCCCCTAAGGGAGGGGGGGCCAGTCCATGGAAACATTTATAAAAAAAACACATAATTTTTGGCTTTCTGTCAAAAACCTTGATAGCTCTCTTGTACAGCTGTTCTATGGGTTTCAGGTTTGTGGCACAAGCAAACGACCAGTTTGTCAAACAGTATTCAATGTGGGATAGAATCATACAGTGGAGGTATGACTTTGCAGCACTGACAATTAAGAAAGGTCTAATTTATTTAACATTTTGCAACACTCACTAATGTTATTTTAGTACAACCCTCTGCTTGTACTTGCAAATGCAAAACTTGCAAGGCAGCGGTTATTTCACCAGCAGCGGCTATTTCTATGTTAGTTTTTTGTGTCCTATCTTTAATTGGCTCTATTTAATTGGAGTATCTTCAGGAATACCCTCTATGACAAGAGCTGCCAAGTTGTAATCCACACACCCACCACATGGATCTCAGACCAGCTCCTTGCTTGACGTTTTAACACCTCACACTCTACAATCTGACCGTGTTTCTGTCTGTGTATCCGTGGGAAACGTTCACCCCCCCGTGCCCCAGCGTGTCTTTGACTGGAACAGGCTGCTCTTGCCTATCAGGGTATTAATAAGCGTTTAGGCAGCTACTTTGGTCCCAGCCCCCAACTCGCTCCCCAGCTATCCCCCCACTTCATAACACAAACAAGCCAACAATCCCCCCCCTTTGCTCCCTGAAAAAACGTGTGCTTATTTCAGGCTAGGGGGAAGATAACTGACACGGCAGGGTTGCATAATAATAGTCGCAGAGGTTGTGGTTGGAGTATTTTTGAAAAACTCCCTCTAGATCTAAAGCTGTTGAAATATCTTGCCTTAAGGGACCAGTTAACTATGAAAAACATCTTGTCTAATAGTGACATGTAATATTAACTTGCTTAAGTGTTCAAAAAGCTCTTTACTTTTCTCATACTGCCTGTGCTGCAGCACTTCTTTTCACCCTCTGTCTGAAACCAGAGCCCAGTCTGCTCTGATTGGTTAGATGTCCAGCTCTGTTGTGATTGGTTAACTGCTTAGAGATGTGTCAGAAATGTCCCGCCCCTTACCCTATCACGTCCAATACAAACGCGAGTAACGATCGTTACTAAGCGATGTCACTACACTCTACACTACAATGTGAAACATATACATTTAATTAAAGTCAATGTTTCAGTTTTTTCAGTGTATGTTACAGAAGTAAATAATGGAGTGAGTCCAATGGAGGCGTTTCAGGCAGGGGATGAGAGTGTGGGAGAGAAACTCCCTCTGGAGGGAACACAGGGATTTTAGCCTTTGCAGACCATTGACATGCACAAAAACCTATATAACCCACTAC